AACTCCGTCTCAAAAAAAAAAATAAAATGAAATGAAAAATGCTGCTTTTGCTAAGACAAGAGTGAAATAATCTTGGATTTTAATTTGAATGGTTTGTGTTGGTAGAAGATGAATGCTATGAGCAAGCCTGCAGGTCACCTGTAGCGCTGCCTGACCACACTCAACATGTGCTGTCTAGATGCAGCTCGCCTCCCGAGAGAGCAGTCTCTGAGGACGGACAAAGCTGACTTCTGTCCTGTCCATACACATAGACACACGGGATGACTTTGGATGAATAAATCAAATACTTTCAGTGTTTGGACAGTCAGTAGTGTAGTCTGATGATTAATAGCTGTTGGAAGTGAGGCACGATAGCTCCAACAATAATCCTAGCCTGTGTAATTCAGCACTTCAGGAGGCCGAGGCAGGAGGATCTTGAGGCAAGGAGTTTTGAGCCAGCCTAGGCAACAGAGTAAGACCCCATCTCCACAAAAAAAATTATGAAAATTAGTTTTTTATGTATTAAAAAGAATGGCTGTTGGAATGAGCCGCTGTTTGAATCAGAACTTACCCGCTCAATGGCTAGATAACCTTGGGCAAGCCACTTGTCCCGGCCTGTCTTTTCATCCGTAAAATGGGGATAATAGCTGCAGTTATTAGTTATCCTAGGAATATAAAGCCCTCACTGTATGTCAAATGTTGTGACTTTAAAGGTCCCATATGTTAAGGAAAAGCTGATCCCAGTGCCTGGCACAGGGTAGGCTTCGAATTTTCACCACTAAAAATATTTATTTCCTCATTACATAAGCCATGTTTATTTGTCAGCCAACTGAAAACCACCACCAGCAACTTATTCCTCCCTATGAACTTCTGGTAGAGGCTTCTCATCTACTTAATCCTCAAGTTGGAAAGAATATTAAGAGTCATCTAGTCCAGCTCCTTACTCAGTGCAGACCCTCTTCTATAACCACCTGTGTGCACACCTCTACCTGGCCAGGTGGCCTGTCTTTGGACAGCTCAAATATTAGTCCTTCTTGAACCAAAACCAGCTTCCCTGTTGATGTCCTGGTTCTGTTCAGCAGATCTTAGAAGAAAAAAAAAAAGTCTGCCCTCTCTCCCTTACAACAGCCCTTTATGTTTGAAGAGAGCTATTACATCTTCCTTTGTCAAAAATTATGTTATCCAGGCCAAGCCAAAACATCCTGCAGCCTACATGGGTCCTTTAAAAAAGATGTTCCCGGGCCGGGCGCAGTGGCTCACGCCTGTAACCCCAGCACTTTGGGAGGCCGAGGTGGGCGGATCACAAAGTCAGGAGTTCAAGACATGGTGAAACCCCATCTCTACTAAAAGTACAAAAATTAGCCAAGTGTGGTGGCACGAACCTATAATCGTAGCACTTTGAGAGGTTGAGGTGGGTGGATCATGAGGTCAAGAGATCAAGACCATCCTGGTCAACATGGTAAAACCCCTTTTCTACTAAAAATACAAGAATTAGCCAGGCATGGTGGTACATGCCTGTAATCCGAGCTACTTGGGAGGCTGAGGCAGAAGAATCGCTTGAACCTGGGAGGCGAAGGTTGCAGTGAACCAAGATTGTGCCATTGCACTCTAGCCTGGGCAACAGAGGGAGACTTGTCTCAAAAAAAAAAAAAAAAAAAAATTAGCTGGGCGTGGTGGCACGCACCTGTAATCCCAGCTACTCAGAAGGCTGAGACAGGAGAATTACTTAAACCCGGGAGGCAGAGGTTGCAGAGAGCCAAGATTGCACCACTGCACTCTAGCCTGGGCGACAGAGTGAGACTCTGTCTCAAAAACATATATATATATATATATTCCCATACAGCAGTTTGGTTTTCAAGGAAACTGCCTTTATTAGGATGATGGGAATTGTTTGACTCCTTGAAACCTTACAGATTTTATTGAATTTTGTAAATTCAAGGGTCCAAGTGATGAGATAAAAGATGAAAATGATTGCTGTTAGCTCTCCCTCCAAAAACGACTTCAACAATTCCTCCCTGCTCATGTTCTCCATTTGAGATAGGTTCTATTATCACCATTTTAGAGCTGAGCAAATTGAGGTATAGAGTGGTGAGGCCACTCAGCTAGTGAGAAAGGCAGCCAGATATGGACGTGGGAGGCCGGCCCAGGAGTGCCCTATCTCCAGCAAGCGGAGAGAGGTTTAGTTTCTTCCCTAAACCACTTTTTCCTGCAGTATTTCCTGTCTCAGCTCCATCACTTCCAGAAGAAACTTCCTTTTTGCAGACCCTCCACCCCCCTGCCTCCTAACGTATCCAGCTCTTCTGCAGCCTGCTCTGCTCCAGGCCTCGGGAATGTAGCAAGCTGTTGGTTCCCGTGTGCTGCCCCGCGTGGGTGTGTGCCAACCTTTGCCTGCAGTGCTGTGAGAGCCCAGCCCCATTCTCCCAGCTGCCAGTCTGGTCCCCTTCCAGCCCACCACCCAAGCTGCTTGTGTGGTCATTATCAAATGGCATTCTGACCCTGTCGCTCTGTCCTGCTGAAAACCTAAAGGTTCCCCACAGCCATCAGGACAAAGGCCTCCACCATTTGCCTCTGCCTGCTCCTTGGCCCCTCTGTGTCACTGGTGAGTTTGTACTCCAGCCCAGCAGCTCATTCCCTGTGCACACCACACTGGTGCCAGCTCCTGCCTGCACAGACTGCCCTCTCTACCAGACACCCTGCCCCCTTCAAACTTACACAGAAGTTACAAAACAGTACAAAGAAATGCCCTATACCCTTCACCTTCACTCAGACATTGCTTATTGCACCACAGACAAAGGCACACACCCACCATGCGTATTTGTTTTCTGGGCTCTTGGGGAGTAAGTTGCAGACATACCAGTCCCCTTTCCTCCAGATCCACCAGTATTTAACCGCCTAAGAACAAACTTTCTCTTACATAACCAAACTGCAGTTACCAAAATCAGGACATTTAACATTTACGTCATGTTTTCTAAACCACAGGCCGTGTTCACATTTCACTAGGTGTCTCTAATGCTCTGGACAGCTATTTTTTTCCTGGTGTGGGATCCTGCAATACGTTTAGTTGTCATGTCTTGGCCTCCTTTGTTCTGGAGCAGCCTCTCTGTCAGCACCCCTGGCATTTGTGAAGAGTCCAGGCCAGCTGTTCTGCAGAGAGTACCCCCGGTAGTTTGTGTGATGCTTCCTCCAGATTAGATTCAGGTTCTGCCTTTCTGGCACAATAGCCCTGAGCAACGCTCTGGCCTTCCCAGCTCAGCATCTCGAGGGCCACATGGTTGCTGCTGGCTTGGCCTATTTTTGATGTGGATACTGATGACTTGGGAACGGGGGCTCTTATTTTTTGCAACCTCCTGTTCATGACCCCTCTCCTAAGAAAGCTTGCATAGAGCCCTCCAGGCACCCACAGTCAGGGGAGGTGTCTGGTCCCTCACCTGAGTTCTGGGCACAGAGCTTCAGCTGCACTGACCGAGCCATCGTGGCGTGTGTCTTCCCCCACTCCACTGCCAGGCTTATGGAACCACATCTCGCTCACGATGGTGTCCCAGCTCCGATGGGCCTGGCACATAGTAGGTGCTTAATAAAGGTGTGTTGAGGCCCAGCGTGGTGGCTCACACCTGTAATCCAAGCACTTTGGAGGCCAGGGTGGGCGGATCACCTGAGGTCGGGACCAGCCTTACCAACATGGTGAAACCCTGTCTTTAAAAAAATAATAAATAAATAAAGGTGTGTTGAGTGAATGAAAGAATGAGCGAGATTTGGGAGCTGATTCAGTCACAAAGCAGAAACCTCCCAATCTCTCCAGATGGGTTTTTGTTTGTGGTTTTCACTGCTTTACTCGTGAAGCATGGCTAAATGTTGGGGCTTCTTTTTATGCCAGATTCTCACTGAAAGCATGAAAGTCTGATCAAATCCCAAGAAAAAAGCATGGTATTTATCCTTCCTCTGGGGAATCACAGAATGGACCATTTTAGAAACTTCTAACCCATTCTAGATTGTTCCATGTTTCTTCATGGGTGTGAGGGGAGAGTCTCTGGGTCCTTGATCATGGGGGCTATTTGGCCGGGACAGAGCAGCAGAGAGTCTTGGGCCCCCCGCCCTGCTGCCTCTCTCCAGCCACATGCTTCAGGCACCAGTAGGGAAGTGCCTGGCGAGGTGTCCAGAAGCCTCTCAGGAGGTCACTGTCTCCGTTTGCTCTTTCAGGCGCAGGAGGAGGGAGACGCACTGACAGCATCTGACCACTCCTGTACTCGGGCGCCTCGTGGTCTCCAGGTGCAAGGCCAGCGTTTCCACCGTTGCTGCTCCAGGACCTCCCCCGGAACAGCCGTTCCTGGAGACCCAGCCATCTTTTCTGTACCGTTTTGCAATCTGGGAAACTTAGGACAGCAGCAGCCCACTCAACTGGGTCCTCACCAGATGGCTCTGGGAAGTCACCGCTGGGCATGGCTGTGTCACTAGGCCTTTGTGGCTGATGAGTAACAGCTGTCATGTGTTGTTTCTGGGTGGGGATTTCCCAGGAAACCAGTCATACTCTGACAGCCAGTAGGATGGGGATACAGGTCCCGCCAGTGAGGACTGGCTGAATCATGCGACCCATGCAGTAGGCCCCTTGGGTCAGCTGCACTGATGGTGACTGAGGCCAGGAAATAGGGGACTCTGTGTGAAGCCTGCCAGCCCCTGCCATGTGATTGTTCAGCACATACCTTAGAGCTTCCACTTCCGTCTCAGGACATTTTCAAAGATGAGCATCCTCAGGAGGGGTGGCAGGTAGGGGGGCATCTGGAGGGACCTGAGGCTCAGGGAGAGCTCGGTGCCCAGGCCGAGCAGTGCCGCACATACACACAAATTATGCCTGCAAACGTGCGTCACGCCTGCAAGACCAACGGGCTCCTTCCAGCCGGGCTGCCTGAGGCCACTGTCCATGTGCTGGTGCCCATTGTGGGCTCCGGGGCCCTCTGTCCTTGTGCTGACATGAATGGAGTTGAATTGCCCTGAATTGAATTAGAGTAAAATAAATTGAATTGAAAAGCCTACAAATAAGTATGCATCTCTTGCTGAGTGCCAGGCCCTGGGCAGTCACAACTGAGTAAGACAGCACCTGCCTGTCTTCACTAGCTGGGCCCATAACTGATATTATGGACTTGCAGTAAGAACACATTGGGGATTGCAGGTGGCAGTGAGGAGGAGGGTGAAAGGTTTCAGGAGTGGGGATCTCTGAGCTGAGCCTTTGAGAATGGGAGTGGGGATTCTGGAAAGAAGTGAAGGTAAAAAGGACGCGGGGGGCCAGGCACGTTGTCTCACGCCTATAATCCCAGCATTTTGGGAGGCTGAGGCAGGCGGATCACGAGGTCATGAGATTGAGACCAGCGTGGCCAACATGGTGAAACACCATCTGTACTAAAAATACGAAAATTAGCCAGGCATGGTGGTGCACACCTGTAGTCTCAGCTACTCAGGAGGCTGAGGCAGGAGAATTGCTTGAACCTGGAAGTGGAGGTTGCAGCAAGCCAAGATCGCGCCACTGCACTCCAGCCTGGGTGACAGAGCAAGACTCTGTCTCAAGAAAAAAAAGAAAAGGACACAAGACACAGGACCAGGGAAGCAGCAGGAACAGAGGCGAACTGCATCTGAGGAGAGGACAGGAGGAGGCGGAGACGCAGAGCTCACCTGCCACCTGATAGAGGCACACACAGTCACAGGTGGAGAGAGGCATCACGCAGCCTGTGAGCCACACACATCAGAACCACCCAGAACACGCCACATACCTACTCCAGCAGAATCTCAGGAGCCGGCCCAGGAACCTGCATTTGAAAACAAGCTCTACAAGTGAATTCAAAGATTCACACTGTGTTGGGGGCGGGTGCTGAGCCTCAGTCAGCCAGTCGGGTGGGGGCAGGGGCGGGGGCATTCAGTGATTTGAAGGCCAGTGGCCTGCCAGGATTCACCCCTGGCAGGTAAGTACTTTTTGCACTTCACCACACAGCACAGCTGCTGTGGAGGACTTGTCCACACAAGACTGCTGGGCTCCACTCCAAAAATTTTGAGTCACTCGGCCTGGAATAGGGCCCAGAATTGCTTTGCTCATCAGTTCCCTGATGGGTGATGCTGGTACAGGGGCCTCTGAGAAAGAAATGGATTGGAGCGAGATGGAATCAGCCAGACTGAGGGAAGCTCTCACTGGCTCTCCTGAGACTGAGGTGACAGGACAGTCGAAACATTTGATTTCACCAGATGCGCTCCCTTTGACTAACCTAACACCATGTAAGCACTTTCTCTTCCATGTATGTGCCCATCCTAGGATTAAGCCTTCCGCAACAGTGGTACAGTATCTGGACATGTGACAGATGCCCAGTGCTCCGATCTGAAGATGGGTGAGCCTGGTCCCCGCCGGGGGTCTCTTGCTCAGAGAGATGCCATCTCCTAAGCGACCTGTGGCTCTGAGGCCACTCAGGAGCATTTCTAGGCATCCATGCCGTGCCTTGATTCCAGCACCCAGAAATGCGTCTGGTGTTTCCAAGGTCACAGGTGGAAGCCCCAGATGTCCCTTGGAAGGCTGTGCTGCCATCACCCTTGGGGCTTGGTCACGTCCTGGATCAAGGGGTGATCATTTATCAGCAGTCTACACAGGATTGGAGGGCCTCTGGAAATGACAGTGTCCCACCAGCAAGGAGCTCAGCACCGTGCTCAAGCCCAAAGACACAACCAAACCAGCTTCCAAATCCCATCTCTGCAGGTCTATGGCTGGGGCTACTCGTGGTACAAATTCTGCAACAATCAAGAGAGGAAACTACATGTTAATTTGAATGGGGGAAGTTTGACATAACTGTAACACGTTTAGAGTAGCGAGGAGTTGGCTAGTAAGAAGTAAACTCCATGCTGGGCTCACACCTATAATCCCAGCACTTGGGGAGGCTGAGGCGGGTGGATCAGGAGTTCGAGACCAGCCTGGCTAAAATGGTGAAACCCTGTCTCTACTAAAAATAGAAAAATTAGCAGGGTGCAGTGGTAGGTGCCTGTAATCCCAGCTACTTGGGAGGCAGAAGAGGGGAATTACTTGAACCTGGGAGGCGGAGGCAGCAAAGAGTCGAGATTGCACCATTGCACTCCAGCCTGGGTGACAGAGCCAGACTCCGTCTCAAAAAAAAAAAAAAGAAAAGAAAAAAAAGAAGTAAACACCAATAATCTAGGAAGAGCAACTATGAGGAATAGCCTCCCATTCAACCGCTCCTTCACCCAACCCTGAGCCCTCATTTGAGAGAGCACTGCCCAGACTCGCCAAAGGGCTGAGAAGCCCGTTGCTGCTGCAGTGGGACTTGCTGGATATCTGCTCTCGGGGGCCAGGGTTAAGCTGTTCCTGTAAAGGAAGTGCCTTGCTGGAGGAAGTCAGCCACAAATGGCTTGAAGCTGCTGGCTGCTGCTGACCACCATGCACTGCAGAAGCCTGGTGCTGGAGGGTCCATGAGCATGGCAGGAGTCAGCCAAGTGGGCACAGAGGGCAGGAAGGAAAACCTTCTGGCCATCTACCACTGTTCCCTTTGACAAACCTAACACTATGTCAGCACACAAAGGAAACATGTCTAAAGGGGCCAGATCCATTTTCTCAAAGCAGGTAATGAAGGATGAACTTGGAGCTGCGTGGCACTAAATTGATAAGGGGCACAGTTCCCAAAGGAGTCCAGGGCATGGGAACTTGGAACCCTATCATTTCAGAGCTTGTTTGGAGGTTCTTGCAGAGGACCTCTGCTACTCATATACCCTTGACCAAAGACCTGTCCTCCTCTACCAGGAATGGTCATCCTCTTCAACTGAGGGTGCAGCTTTGAGACGGACACACATGGAGCAGTGAGGGAGGAAAGGAACACCTGCCTAGCCAGCCAGATCCGCCGAACCAACCCTGGCCATCATTGGGGTGACAGATGCTGCAGCCAAATCACCCACACATCCAGCAACCCTATGATTTGATCAGAGGAACAGAGGAATTGGAAAGAGCCTCAAGAGCTCCTCTGTCCAGCCCCTCACCACTGCCAAAACAATATCAATCCTCTGAGCAAGGCCACACAGCTTGGTGCAGTGGGAGAGAGGGACTGTGCCACCTTGTTCTCTCTGCCCTCGCACTCTCTTTCATAGGCCTTTTGCATTTAAATTGGACAAACTGGTAGCATCCATTTTACAGATAGGTACCCAAAGTTGAGCAACCCCCTTTAAATGAATAAATATTCCCAATCAAAGAGAGCTCAAGACACACTGTCTAGTTCTAGGACAGAAGAATTTCCTGAGTTTCCCAAAACAAAAACCCCATAACTTTTCTTGTTTCTTTAATTCTATAAAGACATTTTAGTGAAATGTGAGGCCCATGCTGAGTGCAGTGGCTCAAGCCTGTTATCCCAACACTTTGGGAGGCCGAGCCAGGCAGATCACTTGAGGTCAGGAGTTCGAGACCAGCCTGGCCACCATGGTGAAAACACCCATCTCTACTAAAAATATAAAAATTAGCTGGGCATGATGGTGGGCACCTGTAATCCCAGCTACTCGGGAGGCTTGAGGCACAAGAATCACTTGAACCCGGGAGGTGGAGGTTGCAGAGAGCTGAGATTGTGCCACTGCACTTCAGCCTGGGCAACAGAGCAAGATGGTCTAAAAAAAAAAAGAAAAAAAAAAGTCAGGACCAGCCAGCACTTTCCACACCCAGTGTGGTATTGTAGGAGCCCCAAGAAGATTTGTGGATTTGATTTGTAACTTGCCCAGCACAGGCCCTGGACCTTGAACCTTGGGTCATATGTTCTCCTGTGAGCATTAAGAGAAGGGTTTTTGGCCAGGTGCAGTGGCTCACGCCTGTAATCCCAGCACTTTGGGAAGCTGAGGCAGGAGGATCAACTGAGGTCAGGAGTTTGAGACCAGCCTGGCCAATATGGTGAAACCTCCATCTCTACTAAAAATACAAAAATGAGCCAGGTGTGGTGGCGGGCACCTGCAGTCCCAGCTACTCGGGAGGCTGAGGCGGGAGAATTTCTTGAACCCAGGAGGTGGAGGTTGCAGTGAGCCGAGATCAAACCATTGCACTCCAGCCTGGGCAACAGAGTGAGACTGTCTCAAAAAAAGAAAAAAGAGAAGCGTTGTCGTTGTGCTGGTTGTGCCAGTCCCTAATGCTGATGGAGTGTCCTGTGTGCTGTGCCCGCAGCATCTCATGAGACTCCATAGTGAAGAAGCCCCGTTGTCACCCACCTGTCTATCAGCCATATTAGGGACATGCAGAAAGGCCACCAGGGCAGTGCCCTAGTCAGGGCTGGATGCCGCAACAAAGCCCTCCGTCTGGGGGGAGCTTCCACAGTAGAGACGGACCTCGTCGCAGCCCGGAGCTTCCACAGTAGAGACGGACCTCCTCGCAGCCCGGAGCTTCCACAGTAGAGACGGACCTCCTCGCAGCCCGGAGCTTCCACAGTAGAGACGGACCTCCTCGCAGTCCGTAGCTTCCACAGTAGAGACGGATTTCCTTGCAGCCCAAGAGGAATGCCGACAGGGTTGGTGTCCCCGAGCCTCTCCTGGGCTTGAACCGTCTTTTCCCACCCAAGTCCTCACATGGGCTTCCCTCCATGTCTGTGTGCCAAGCTTCTCTTATAAGGACAGTGACAGATGGAATTAGGACCCACCCTAATGGCCTTGTTGATATGGAATTACCTTTTTAAGGGTCCTATCTCAGATACGGTCACATTCTGAGGTCACAGGGGCTTCACCATATGGATTTTGGAAAGTCACAGTTCATCCTATGACAGTCAGTATTTCCTATAGACCTGGTATCTGTGGATAAGGGCTTTGCATGCTATTTAAGGGATACCATCTGAGTTTAAGCCGCCCTTCCTTACCTCATGATCCAGTTCATCTTCAGATAAACACGTGGTTGGACGTGGGAGATAAACATCTCAGCTACTTGGGAGGCTGAGGCTAGAGAATCGCTTGAGCCTGAGAGGTGGAGGTTGCAGTGAGCCAAGATTGCGCCATTGCACTCCAGTCTGGGCAATGAGCGAAACTCCGTTTAAAAAAAAAGAAAAAGTTCTTGGGAGCCTTAAAAACTCTGTGTGGCATGTAGCCCCACTCCAGAGATGCTGACTAAATTGGCCTTCTGGGAAGCCAATCATCATCACCAGGGATCTGAACACTGCCACCTCCATGAGAAGCACCTGGGAAGGGCAAACCTAAAACTACGCCCAGTGGGAAGTCGTTAACTGGAAGCCTTCAGATCAGCTTGGTCTGGGCAAAAACATCAGTCCCTGCACGGACCTTTGAGTGTGAGGCCAAAGCCTGGTGTTCCCACTCACTGCTCAGAACACACTGAATCTCTGCAGGGTCTGAGAGTCAGAGCTCTGTTACAGTCTGTAAAAAGACATAGACTGAGCTGGTCCTGGTGGCTCACACCTAGCACTTTGGGAGGCCAAGGCCTGTGGATCACCTGAGGTCAAGAGTTCAAGGCCTGGCCAACATGGTAAAACCCTGTCTCTACTACAAACACAAAAGAATTAGCCAGGCATGATTGCAGGTGCCTGTGATACCAGCTAATCAGGAGGCGGAGGCAGGAGAATCACTTGAACCCAAGAAGCAGAGGTTGTAGTGAGCCGAGATCGTGCGTGCCATTGCACCCCACACTGGACAACAGAAAAAAAACTCCATTTAAAAAAAAAAAAAAGACGTAGACTGAATAGACGCTCTGTGGATGTGATCACCAGGGCCGAGACCTGTGGGCATGGTCACCACAGGGTGAGGCTGCAAAGCGTGACCGTCGGTGGGCAGGTCATCCGAGGCCGTGGTCAACTGGGACTCGGGGTGGGCTGGGGCCTATTTGGGAAGCAGAGTTTGGATGTCATTCCCCAAGCCTTAGAGGCCATTGGAGGTGTGGGGCAGGGAGGCTCATGGATAAAGAGGTGCTTGAGGAACACTGATCAGATGTGTGCCAGCTTCAGCTGTCCTAGCGTCCTCATCCCTAGGTGGGTGCTGGGAAGAAGACAGGCGTCTGCAGGTCCCATCCAAATCCCCCCACCGCCCTCTCCTCACCTCTCAGGCTTCACTGTGAAGTAGGTCAACTTTTTCCAGGGGCAGGAGAATGTGTGGTTCCCTGCTGCTTGAGAGGCTCCACAGAACGAAGGCAAAGACTGCTGCTCGCTCTGTCCCTGCGGAAACCAGGTCCAGCTGGTCCAGTAACCTCCTCCCTTTTCTGAGGTAGGGCTGGGAGTGGGGCCCGCACAACAAACCCAAGGCCTGTCTTCGGTGACCAGAGCTGCCCTTGGGGCTTTCCTCGCTGGGGGCTGTTCCAGCACTCAAGCCTCGGCGCTGCCATGTGGCGCCCACGCCCCCTTCCCCTTCCCCAGTAGGAGGATTGACCCCTGTGGAGCTGCGGAGGCTTGAAAACGCGATCTTCCCTTCTCTGGAAACATTCAAATCCCCCACCCACTGCCCCAGGCCAACGTGTCTGATTGGGCTGGCCTGGGAATTCCGCCGCAGCAGGGAGAGCCCCAGACCCTTCTTGCGTTCTTGGCCACGCAACCCCCTGCCCTTGCCTAGTGATTGCAGCCCCCTTGGTCCCTGGTGGAGACCTGGGTGTGGAGGTAGAGAGGGTCAGGTGTATGTGAGACCTCAGGCATCTGTGGGCACCTGTGTACAAGTATCCCTATGCCTATGGTAACGTGGGCTTGGAGAGCCCATTGGCAGGGCACAGTGGCTCACGCTCTAATTCCAACACTTGGAAGGTGGAGGTGGGAGGATTGCTTGAGTCCAGGAGTTTGAGACCAGCCTGGGGCAACATGGTGAAACCCCATCCCACAAAAAATACAAAAAAATTTAGCCGGGTGTGGTGGTGTGCACCTTGGTCCCAGCTACTTGGGACCGCGATCAGGAGTGTGTATCAGGAAACCAAGGACCCAAAGCTCCAGGGAAGTGAGCCAGGTGGAGGCACCTGCTCCTAGATTTGGTGCTAATGTCAAGTCAAGCCCAGCCACAGGTTCTTAGAAGTTCCCTTCTGGGGCTAGGTAGTTCCCAAAGTTGGGTGAGAGCACCTGTGCTGATATAGGTAGGGGAGTGGCTGCAAAAGCGGGAAAGAAGACCAGACAGGAGGCTTGAAGGAAGATTTTGGTACATATCTTAGATACCAGGGAGTTACCCCAGACCAAACAAAGGCTCCGTTGCAAACAATTTGTCTTAGTGTTAGCTTGAGGGGCAACTAGAGGTACAACTGAGGGGCAGAAATCTGGAACAGTCTTTAATAGCCCTGGTTTGCAAGCTTTTCTGGGCTTTTGCAGATTCTCTAGGAATTTGCTAAAAATGTATATGGCTGGGTCCCACCCTCCTAAGATCCTGAATCAGTAGATCTGAAATGCATTTTTTTTTTTTTGAGATGGAGTCTCGCTCTTGTCACCCAGGCTGGCGTGCAGTGATGCCATCTCAGCTCACAGTAACCTCTGCCTCCCAAGTTTAAGCAATTCTCCTGCCTTAGCCTCCCAAGTAGCTGTGATTGCTGATGCCTGCCACCATGTCCACTTAACTTTTTAATTTTTGTAGAGTCAGGGTTTTGCCATATTGATCAGCCTGGTCTTGAACTCCTGACCTCAGGTGATCCATCTAACTTGGCCTCCCAAAGTGCTGGGATCACAAGTGTAAGCCACGGCACCCAGCCTGAAACGCAAACTTTAACAATCAACACAGAGAATTCTCTTTTAGTGGGTAGATGAGTGGGTGGGTTGTCCACACAGAGGCACCTGATATGAATGAGAAAAAATGGTCTTGGAGGCTCTGCCCCAGCTAATGTCTCATGGAGCACAGATGGGCCATCCCTGCAGAGCCCTGCCCAACCCACTGAATCCTGACCCAAAGTTTTGGTGTTCTTTGTTATGCAGCAAAAGAGAACTGGAACAGTTGGGAATTTACTCAGTGACCCTGGGAATATGTGTGCCAAATCGAATCAGTTCCTTGTTTCCTAGGGGCCACGCATTCCTAGTTTTCAGTAACTTCCCTTTCAGTGGAGGACACACACCACCCATGCTCGGGGCTTCTGTTTTATGATTTTTCTGGTGGAGAATTTCATCCCTACAAAAGCACTCAAAGCCAGCTGACCTGGGCAAATTATTTCAATGCTCGTCCCTGCTCTGAAGGAATAAGGATTTTTTTCTTCACAGCTCACTGAACTTGGGTGAGGACAAGAAACAAAAACCACAGGAAAACACTGCAGTGTGCAAAATCCTGTACAAATGCATCTGAGAATGAGGAAGGGAAAAGTGAGGCCCAACGAAAGCAGCAACACTCACCAAGTTAAAACGGTGTTTGAGAAGCGAGATGACTTCCTTAGCTTTCTTTGTATTTTCCCACAGCTCCTAAATTTTCCACACTGAGCAAGGCGTTCCTTTTATGTAAATTCCCATAAAAGAGTCCTATCAGATCCGTGGAGGAAGGCAGGGCTGGGGAACAGCTGAGCCCCTTGCTCGCCCCACAGTCTGGGAAGCAGACGCCACCACGGGGACATTAATTCCGGCCCTGACAGCCAGGCGAGGCTTGAGGTGGCAAACAGCAAGGGCCAGGGATGTCATTTCCCACTGGGCTGTGGCTTCCTTCCCCTAAAAGTAAAATGGGAAAGAAGTGACCGCTTGTTTCTTATTTAGGACACTGACTCCGGCAGCCTAGAATTGGAGAGGACTCTTGTTGTTAAAGAGCAACCTTCAATAACAAGCTTAAAATAAGCTCAGTCATCCTACCTCGATCCTGGCCTCCTCAGGGACGTGGTTATGAAGGGGAGAGGCCCGAGCACTCCAGGCCCAAGGCTTGGCGCCAGAACAGGCAAGCAGGCAGCTGGTGCTGTTGGCCAGTGGCCGATAGCTCCTTGGCCCTTTCAAAGTAGCCTTTGGAATCTTCGAGGATAGCAAACAAGCAGAAACCCCAGACAAGACTTTTGGGGCACTCAGGTTTAGGCAGCGGCTGGGTCTGTGCTAGGGCTGGAGTAGGGACCGTGGAAGGAGCCTCTCTGGAGGGCCAGGATCAGCACACTCTAAAGCCTTATCTGGGCTCTGCCCCCTCCTTCTGAGATGGAGTCTGTCTTCAGCAGGGAGAATCCACAGCCACCTCTGCAGCCGGCTGCTGGGTCCACCTTATTCTGAACCAAGCTTTGGGGTCCAGACTGGAGCTTCTCAAACCTTAATATGCGCACACATCCACTGTGGTTCTTGTTCAAATGTGGATTCTGACTCAGCAGGTTTGGGTGGGCCATAGGTTCTCAATTAATTAATTTATTTTTAATTATCTTTGTAAAGATGTGATCTTGTTCTGTCAATCAGGCTGGAGTGCAATCATAGCTCACCGCAGCCTTGAACTCTTGGTCTCAAGAGATTCTCTTGCCTCAACCTCCCAAAGTGCTGGGACTACAAGTGTGCACCACTGCACCAGGTCAACCTGAGGTTGTAATTTCTAATAAGCTCCCAGGGATGCTGATGCTTTGGGTCTTCAGATCACACTCTGAACAGCAAGGTAGAAAGGGGTTAGGCCTCATCCTAGGTGCTAGGTCTGTGGTGCCAGCTCCCCTATCCCTTGCCCCGTGCCCTCCTCCAGTGGATGAGGCTCCAGTGCAGAGTGGGGATATTGGATAAGCACCAAGGCCAAGGCAGAGTCCTGGGGCCATGCAGAGGCCACAGGCTGAGCGGGAAGGTAGTGGAATTACAGATAACCAGAGGAGTCCAGGTAGGAGAAGGTGGCAAGACTCCCTGGGGTTTGAGGACAGTGCCTGCATCTTGGTGGTCTCCCACAAGGCCCTCCTCTGGCTGTTCCCCACACTGTGCCATGAATTTTTGTGGTGGAAATTCTACTGACTACCTCATCAGGCAACCAGTGAAGCATTCCTATGAGAAGACTCAAACAATAATGAGAGCCCTGACATGCACCTTATGTAATTAACTCATGGAATTCACACAATGCCCATGAAGCAGGTACTAATGCTATCTCCTTCTTAGGGATGGGGAAATTGATGCAAAAGTCCATTCACATGCCCCAAGAAGCAGAGCTGGGATTTTCATGCCAGCCAGTTTGTCCCAGCAACATAGCTTGTGGCCACTTTTCTACCCTGCATCTCTAACACAGGGGCAGATGGTTGGCTATGTCTTTTTTTTTTTTGAGAGTGTTTCACTCTTGTTACCCAGGCTGGAGTGCAATGGCGCGATCTCGGCTCACCGCAACCTCCGCCTCCTGGGTTCAAGCAATTCTACCGTCTCAGCCTCCTGAGTAGCTGGGATTACAGGCATGCACCACCATGCCCAGCTAATTTTTTGTATTTTTAGTAAAGACAGGGTTTCACCATGTTGACCAGGATGGTCTCGATCTCTTGACCTCGTGATCCACCCACCTCGGCCTCCCAAAGTGCTGGGATTACAGGCGTGAGCCACCACAACTGGCTGGTTGGCTATGTCTTTAGGCTGGAGGACCTAAGGTTTGAGATCCACTTACCCATTTCCACCTGCCACTGCCCACGCAGGCAAGCAGATCCCCCAAGCTCCCACATATAAATATGTGTTACATTATCTGTATTTTAACAGAGGGGCCTGAAAAAATTTAAGGATCACAGCCACAGCTCTGGTCCTATAGTGAGCTGGCACGTAGCAGCTATGGTACAGTGCATTCAATGCATTTTAGCATTACCCACAAAACTAACTTCTTTCAGTGCTTTTTTTTTTTTTTTTTTTTGAGACAGAGTCTCACTCTGTTGCCCAGGCTGGAGTGCAGTGGCGTGATCTTGGCTCACTGAAACCTCTGCCTCCCAGGTTCAAGTGATTCTCATACCTCAGCCTCCCGAGTAGCTGGGATTACAGGCACACACTACCACACCCAACTTTTTATTGTTTTGTTTTTTGTTTTTAGACAGAGTCTCGCTCTGTACCCCAGGCTGGAGTGCAGTGGCGTGATCTTGGCTCTGCAACCTCCACCTTCTGGGTCTGAGTTCAAGCAATTCTCCTGCCTCAACCTCCCCATTAGCTGGGATTACAGGAATGCACACCATACCCAGCTAATTTTATTTTTAGTAGAGATAGTTTCACCATGTTGGCCAGGCTGGTCTTGAACTCCTGGCCTTGTGATCTGCCTGCCTCGGCCTCCCAAAGTGCTGGGGTAACAGGTGTGAGCCACCACACCCAGCCCACACTCAAATTTTCACTTTTTTTTTTAAGATGGGGTTTCACCATATTGGTCAGGCTGATCTCGAACTCCTGACCTCAGGTGATCCACCCATCTCAGCCTCCCAAAGTGCTGGGATTTCAGGTGTGAGCCACTGTGCCCGGCTTCACATTTTTTTATGTAGTTTTAGTAGAGACAGGGTTTCACCAAGTTGGTCAGCTGGCCTCAAATTTGTGACTGCAAGTGATCCTCCTGTCTCGGTCTCCCAAAGTGCTGGGATTACAGGTGTGAGCCTGTGCCCAGCCCAGTATTGGTTTTTGAGAGCTACTCCCTCCCCAGTTACAGGAGTTGGAGCTCTGCCAATTGCTGTTTTACTCAAATGTGAGTTTTGACCTGCACCATCTCCAGCCCTCCCATCTCACCAAAATCTGGTCACACCAACAGATTTTGTTCTCCCTCCACTTGGTGCTGACTCAATCACAACTGGGTTGGTGGAAGAGGAAGTGGCAAGGTGGACCTCTTAGGCATTATTGTACAGGAAACAAAAATGCTGGCTTTAGCCAATGACAGAGTGGCCTGCACTGTGGTGCCCCGTTGGGTACAGCCTGCTGGCCCTGTGCACCCAACACGAGGTCTCCATTCTGAAGTTCTGACAGTGACCATGCACCTAACTTTCCACAGGCTCTCAAAGCAGCCCTCACAACCGCAGCCAAGTGCTTTTATGTACAGCAGCTTGCTGTGTCCTCCAGGCTGGAGTACAGAGGCGCAATCATAGCTCACTGCAACCCCAAGCTCAAGTGATCCCCCTGCCTCAGCCTCCCAAGTAGCTAGGACTACAGGCGTGTGCCACCATGCCCATCTAGTTTTTAAAAGTCTTTTGTAGAGATGGGGGTCTCACTATTTTGCCCAGGCTAGTCTTGAACTTCTGGTTTCAAGTGATTCTCCTGTCTCAGTCTCCCAAAGTGCTGGGATTATAAGCAAGAGCCACTGCCCCAGCCTGCAGCGCTTTTTAAAAATGCTGCTTGGATGACAGAGATTTCCTGTGCACCTGTGACTCCTCCAACAGCACTGCACACCCATGACCTGCCCCAAGTGGGCTGTGGGTTTGGGGATGGGAGCACAGCAAATCACAGGATGGCCATGTGACCGGCAATCTGCCGCTTTTAAAATATACCATTTATTGCTTAGATGGTTTGATACAGAACAGCTTTCTTCTCATTCTGAATTTGGAAGTTCTATACAACTGAATATAAAGAGGAACAAAAAGTACCAAAACCAAACTTGTGATTCTCTGTTCATGTGGCATAAACCAGTTTTGTACATAACATGTAGCAGCAGTTTTTAAGTTCCCTTTAGAAAAATATGAATTCTACAAATTATTGTTTCCTGTTTAATGCATGGGCTGAAATCACTAGGATCAATTTCCTTCTGAAGAAAGTGGAGAGCACAGAGACGAACAGAGGATCAGAACGTATGGTGAATCTTTCCGAAACCGGCATCCGACTGTTACGTAGCTTCCCCAGTGATGCTTGGAAAACAGCCCTCTGGGTTTTCTTTTGTTTTCACAGCCAGGTGTTTCATGTAGTGATTGAATCTCAGCATCATGTCCATTAATCAATGAGGAAAAAAAAAAAAAAAAAACGAGAGAAAAAACTTGCACCTCAAAAAACTTTTCAGAAGATCCATATATATATATTTTTTTGTAAAAGCCCTGAGAGAAGGAGAAAGAGAATCAACAAAATGTATAGAAACAAATTAGCTGGACATGCAAACTAAGCTATGATTCACCCAGAGTTCAAACAAATCACAAATTTCACAGTTTAATATTGGGGGGGTGGAGGGAGGGCAAAAACAACAAACAAATAACACGTTTCTCCACCTCACTAATGTGGCAAGACCTTATTGACTATGAGGGTACAGATCAAGGCTAAGTAAAGCTTTAAATCAATAGTGATTATTGCGAGCGGCAGCCCGGGCTACACACGTCGCTGGGAGCTGATTACTGCTACATCTCACCGCAGCGTAGAGTTTAGTCACAGCTTCTCCCCACAATATTGCGAGTTTAGTGTGGAGAGTCGCAAAGAAAAAACATAAGAAACCCCAAATAATAATAACAAAAATAACAACAAAAACTGTAATAATAATAAAAAAAAAGCCTAAGGGATGTATGAACTGGTTTTAACTAAGTAGACCAAGAAATCATTGGTTCTGATTTGCATTCATCTCTACATTAAATAAAACCTTGTTTTTAAACTGGTTCATACATCCCTAATACAGTTAAAAGTCATATATACCGCAACCTTTTTTCCTTTCATATGCAAAGATATCACTTTTCATTATCTCAAGAATATCTATCTTCCTTTGAAGTCTGGGAGGTTGGATTTCAGAAATCAGTGAGGTGGTGGAGAGAAAGGGGCATGCATGTTTCTGTGAGAACAAGTCTAAGAAAAGGAGGAGCATGTGGGGCCAGAAAAGGCCTGGGGAAGGAAGCTAGGGCACAGGGGTGCCTCCCCAGGGGAAGGCAAGAGGCTCCACGCACTGCAGCAAGCCAGGAGTTCCCGGCAGCAGGCTGCCTGGGCTCCCCCTGGCCCTGAGGTCTTGGCTGAGAGACCAGAAGCTCAGTTGCAGTGGACTATATTCTCCTCCCTGTGGGCAGCGACACTAAGGGAAGTCTATTGCCTGCATGAGTAAAAAGAATCCTGCTTTTTTGCAACCAGGGGTTTCAGCTATTTAAGAAACTAGAAACAGCACATTTATCTTCAAGCACCAACCCCACATTGCAGGAAGGTAAATATAAATCTATTTCTCATCTGACATCTTGCATGTGTAGTTTTATTACCAGTAGTAGTATTTCCTCGCTTTGCAAATGACAGTAGCACAGCTGGGGAAGGCTTGGATTGGGCTTAGCGGGAAGACTGGGAATACCTCACACATGAGTAACGTGCCTGGTCACTGGGTCACTGCTTTGCTTTCTCCAAAGCCATCTCTGCAGTGCTCCGGGCACAACCCTGGCTTCTCGATGCCCGTTCCCTGGATGCACACATCCTCACTCCACCCTCTCTGAGCTGCTCCTGGGCCATGCTTGGGAAGACTGCTCATGGCCAAATTCTGCAGTGACGGAAGAAAGGCTTGTCTCAGTACAGTAGAAGAGCTACCACCCGAAGGTGCCAACCACAGCCGCAGGCACACGTTTACTCGGGGACCTGGGTGTGGCACAGGTCTCCCAGGACAAATATTGCCCATTTGATTCTGCTGACTGCAGAGACCAGCAAACTGATGAACTAAAAATAATAATAATATTAATAATACATATACTAAAAGGGAAAGGGGACAATCAAATATATGCTATCCGTGCATGTTTTCCATAGGTTAAGATGCCAGGGGAGTAACTCTTCTCTGTAGTTAAGAGCGGATGTCTTGAAACTCGAACAGTGACCATGTCTAACGCTGACAGAGTGGAAACGGACAGGAGGCTGAAGCTAGACTCTTTCCTGGTTTTGGCTTGAAACCATATTGGAAACCTTCATTAACCACATCCTGTAATACCAAGGACCAGATGACAACTCCACCATGAAGCACACAGAAAAAAAGGAAAATGTCTATTTGAGAAATTATCATCTTATCCATCTCTCCTCTGGTCATTTACATGAAATTCACATCATTTTCTTCCAGTTATTGGCTATGGGTACCCAAGGGTATGTTTTTTCCTTCTGTTTCCAGCTCACAGAACAAACGGTGCTATCACAGATTCACAAGAACAAGCTCACACACACCAATATAAAATAACGCTAATGCTCAAATGAAGAGGTCCTCTCCAGCCAATTCATTATATTTGTCTTAAGAAGTCATTTTGGAAAAATATAACACCCATGATGATATGGAGAGATCCGGTAAGTAGTGAAGGCACTGGAATCGGCAGGGGCTGGGGCCTCCCACGCAGGCTGCGGTGAGGCTATGGCACTGAGTGAGCGGCCACACTCCTGCTTGTCTCTCTCACTCACTCTCTCTTAATCCCCAACAGCGGAAGGGAACTGAGGAAACCCCACGAAGTATAGACTTGCGATGCTTTGCTCTGCTGGCTTTTGTCTGTGCTGAGGGGGGCTGAGGCTGTCACTCCATCCCCAGGAGCTGTGAGGCACCGTCAGCCGTGGCCAGGATGGCGTGGGCGGGCCTCTTGCTGCAGGGCTCCAGCAGGTCCTGCCCCAGGGCCGCAGGGCTCTCTGGGTTAAGGTCACCCTGGCCAGGCTCGGATGCTCGCCCTGCTGTGATCTTCTCTTCCCTGTGGCTGCAGTCCTTGGTGGCACTGGCCAAGCCCTCCTTCCGGTTCCGGGTGATGGCCATGTGGTTGCTGGCATTGGGAGCCAGCTCAGCTTCATTCTCCGAGATGGGGTTGTTTCCGCTGTGGGTGGACTCGTTCTCGCTGTCCTCCTCACCCCGCTCATCCTTGTCACTGTCCTTCCCATGGTGTTTGGCATGCCTGGCTTTCTGGTGGATCCGCTGGTGGCGAACCAGGCTGTGCTTCAAGGTGAAGGTTCGCTCGCAGGTCTGACATTTGTATGGCCTTTCCCCTAAAACAACGGAAGAAAGAAAATATGTCCATTAACCAAAAGGCACCAGTACCCGCCTACCCTGCTCTGCACAGGAAGAGTGAGGCTCCTGGGCTGTGTGCAGGGGGCCAGGACTCCTTCCTACGCAGTCAGAGGCCTCTTACTTGAACCAGCAAACTGAGGATAGACAATCAGTTTGCTGGTTCAAGCTCTCAATTTGAGACGTTCCTTCTGATTGCTCTCTCAATCCACGCACTCTACATACTGATCCAGAAAACTTGAGTCTAGAAGCAGAACCCTCAGGAGATGTGCAGACTGGCCTCAACTGGAGCCTGGGAAGGAATCTAGAGGGGACCCCTCCCAGGGCTCTGCATGGACAACAGCACCTAAGTCCAGGCACCAGGTACCCTCTGCATTGTGATGTGGTGCAGGAGGGGTTTCCTGATGGATCACATGCCAGGTTCAGGGCAGTAGGGCCCACCAGGCTTGTTGGGAGCCCAGGAATAACCCTCTTCTGAGAGCCAAGGACCCTGGGCAGAGCCTACTGCACTGGATTGGGGGACATGTGTTCCCTGTGGGCTATGGCTGTGACAGGGAGGGAAGCTGCAGCTGAGAGGAGGGACTGGGGTTATTTTGGAAGAAAAAAGGGTGTGTCTCTTGACTTTATAAGCATATCCGGGTCTTTGTGCCAAAGTAACCACCCCTGCTCTGAGGTCTGTAGCCTCCACCCTGTAGGTGGTGGGTGAGCTCTAGGAGCAGTGTGAAGGGCAGTGGCTAAGGGTCCTGTACTCCTAGTCACTTCCGCTGGGCTGCATGGCTAAGAAAGGCCCTCCTGACCCTAACGGATTACCCACAGTGCCTGCTCCACAGCAGCCTGGGGCAGTGCCTGTCTTCCAGGCCACAGGACTACACAGGGCCAAGTGGCCCCAAATGCCCAGCCCAAGCATCCTCTCCTAGATACCTCTATGAAACAGGGCAGCTATCACCCCACTCTATGGATGGGAAGACAGGCTCAGCAGAGCTAAGAGATGGATACAGCACTCTCAAAAACACAACGGCCGAGGGCTCTCAAGTTACTTCCTGCCTGGCTGTTAAGAGGCCTGTAGGGTCTTCAACGGCTGAGGGCAATTCCTTAAAACTCCCTAGTTCACGGACGTAAAAGGGCACACCTGCAACGTAAGCAAACATTCTCCTGGTGGCCTCCGGCACCGTTTCAGGGGAGCTCCTAGGAAGGAGGTGCCCCACTTGCCTCCTCTTGTTGGGCTGGGGACCTGGCCTGCTCTGGTTACCTGTGTGGGAGCGCATATGCCGGGTCAGGTCCTGCAGCGACCAGAACCGCTTGTTGCACACACTGCAGACCTTCTTCCTCTTGTCTGCCTTGCTGGCCACGCTTTTGGGGATGTCTGTCTTTGGTTTCTTGTCATCATCACTCTTCTCCCAGGACCTCTTCTCAGCCGCGCCCTCCGCATCGGAGGGGCCCTCAGTCTCCTCCGAGGGCTTTTCTGCCGGGGCATCCTCGGCACCTGGGGCCGACTCTACCACCCCCGCAGGGGTCTCGGGGGGCTTTTCCTCCTGCTCAGGGGTGGGCTGGGGCCCCTCCTCCGCAGTGCTGACTCCATCGCCCTTCTCCTCCTTGGGCTCCTGGCGGCCGTGCGCTTTCCGGTGGCGGCTCAGGGTGCCCAGGAACTTGAAACTCTTCCCACAGGTGTCGCAGGCGAGCTTCTGCTCCTGCGCAGCCGCGCCCTCGGCGCTCGCCTCTCCCTCGCCCTCGGCCAGCTTGAAGTCCATGAACTTGCTGGCGAAGTCCAGGTCCAGGCTCTGGTTGCTGGCCGCGTCCTCCTCTAAGCCATCGGCGTCACCAGTGCTCTCCTCGGTGCCATGCGCTTCCTCCGGCTCATGGCTCTCCCGGGGCCCCTGCTCTTCCTGGTGCAAAGGCGAGACCGTTTCCATCTTAGCCTGCTCAGCGGGGGCATCCCTTGTGACATGCTGGAGTTCAGCGGTGCCCTCCGATGGCTGCCCTCTGTCATGCGAGGTGAGGTCTAGCACTTCGCCCACGGCGGCCGCTGTCTCTGCATCCGACTGGCTGTCTGCGGGGCAAGCACAGCGGGGAGGGCTCAGAGGGACGCCACCAGGTACGCCTGTGCCAGGGGCGCCGCCGGGATGGGCTAGACCCACGCTGGCAGCCTGAACCCCAAACCAGAGGGCTCCTTTCAACCCAAATCCTCACCACCCGTTACATCATCCCCTAGGAGGACCAAGATGACTCTGGGGACGTAATAAAGCAAAAAAAAAAAAAAAAAAAAAGCAGCCTCCACATCACCTCTGTTGTGTTCGCAGGGCTGGCTGTGCCTCTGAACCCCTGGCTTCCACTGCCCCCCGCCCCCAGGAAGGTGTGAGTGACTCAGGCAGGGCAGACAGGGGCTATGAGATAGGAGGGATGCATTCCAGAGACTCGCAGCACTAGGGGGTTGAGGAAGCTGAGTTATGTTATTTTTCCAGTGCAAAGAGATCATACAAACATGCAACATACACAGGCCCACCCCCACTCCCAATCCTCCAAAGCATGGTCTCTGAAACTCAGGAAGTGACCCCAAGCCTGTATTCTGTGTATGATGCATACACTCTTGCCTGATGCTCATCTCCAGGTGGAGGCTGCAGAGGCCCAAGGGGGCGCAGGCAAGCCTGTAGGCTTCCCAGCTGTCAGCCTCCCAGGGGTGGTGGAAACCTTTCAAAGGAAGGGCACTCCTGATGTCAGGCGTGGCAATAGCACACAGGGAGGGGAACGGACTGTCAATGCCTGTGAATACAAGGGGTTCTGGGTACCAGGCATCTCACCTACCCTGACTTCCTATCTCTTGATTTATTCTTATCTGTCCATTCCCCTCAGGAAAACTGTATGTGGCTAGGCCAATAATTTTCAATGACCCTCTTAAAGGATGACACAGTTGCAATATTCATGACATGAAAGTGTCAAAAGACCTTTTCTTTACTAAGGTTGAAATAGGACTTAATAACTTCTTACAATTATGTGCTATGACAGTGCATCAGAAGCTGGTGGGACCTACCTATTTAGCCGCAGATTCTATGTCTGATTTATTTTTCAAGATGGAGTTTCGCCTTGTTGCCCAGGCTGGCATGCAATGATGTGATCTCTGCTCACTACAACCTCCACCTCCCGGGTTTAAGTGATTCTCCTACCTCAGCCTCCCGAGTAGCTGGGATTACAGGTTCCCACCCACCATGCTCAGCTAATTTTTGTATTTTTAGTAGAGACGGGGTTTAATCATGTTGACCAAGCTGGTCTCGAACTCCTGACCTTGTGATCTGCCCACCTCTGCCTCCCAAAGTGCTGGGATTACAGGTGTAAGCCACTGCACCCGTCCACTGTCTGATATATTACTGCAGGGATTCAGAAGTTCCTCTGAGAATCAGGTGGATGAAAGTCATTGTTTTGTAGCACAAGTACAAGATGCCCCTCCCTCAATAGGCCAGATGTGATTGCAGTCCTTGAGCTAGCAGATTCACCCACTTAACCTGGATTCTCACTTAATGTGATCAGGCATAACTACAATGTCAACGTGCATCCATCACTCCTCCTCAATGTCATATGCTCGATTATATGCCATCAAAGCAGTCAGGGGGGTGGGATAAGGAGCTGTCCTGTCCCCTCCTGAGGTCCGAGTAGATACTACCTATTGTTCACACCTGCTTGGGGCTTTAGGCTTACCCAGAGCCATTTGCATAACGCATCCACTTACTTCATTTCACCTCATTAGTTTTACAACTGTCTGCACTTTTTGGCAGCCACTGTTTGGGTATCTCAAAGAGATTTCAGAAGGAAATAATTATGGTATGAATTTTTTTTTTGGACAGAGTTTCGCTCTTTTGTGCAGGCTGGAATGCAATGGTGTGATCTTGGCTCACTGCAACCTCCACCCACCAGGATTCAAGTGATTCTCCTGCCTCAGCTTCGCGAGTAGCTGGGATTACAGGTGCCTGCCACCATGCCGACCATTTTTTGTATTTTTAGTACAGATGGGGTTTCACCATTTTGGCCAGGCTGGTCTCGAACTGCTGACCTACGTGATCCACCCGTTTCGGCCTCCCATAGTGCTAGCGTTATAGACGTGAGCCGCCCTGTCTGGCCATGAATATAAAATTTTAAAGAAGAAATGATTTTGGAAAATTATCTAAAACCTTAAATATATGAGTCCTGAGATATACACACCAATGTCTGGGTCACATTCCAAGAAAAAACTAGACTTCATTTTCTTGAATCATTTCAACAGACATCATCTGTAGAATGGATATTGGTATAAACTCTAGAATATAAATACAAAATGCTCAATTTGTTTGTTGGCATTGTGGGTAATCTCCCTCCCTAGAGTCAGGGTCTCCCTATATTGGCCCAGGCTGGTCTCAAACTCCTGGGCTCAAGGGATTCTCCTACCTTCACCTCCCAAAGTGCTGAGGTTATAGGCATTAGCAACCGTGCCTGAACTTTTTAGGAAAAAAAAAAAAAAAAAAAATTTTTTTTTTTTTTTTTTTTTGAGATGGAGTATTGCTCTGCCACCCAGGCTGGAGAACAGTGGCGAGATCTTGGCTCACTATAACCTCCACCTCCCTGGTTCAAGCAATTTTCCTGCCTTAGCCTTCCGAGCAGCTGAGATTACAGGGGTGAGCCACCAGGCCCAGCTAACTTTTGCATTTTTAGTGGACCAGGGTTTCACCACGTTGGCCAGGCTGGTCTCAAACTCCTGACCAAAGTTCTCGGATTACAGACATGAGCCACTGCACCCAGCCGGTAATTTTTAAAAGAAGGTTTAATCTCTGGTTACTTCCTCTTTGTCCCAGTATATCCTAGGCTACTTCTATTAATTGTTTTTCTTTCAGCAAATAACATGCATTACTTTAACTGCATAGAACATATAAGATGATAAACCTTAAAAAATTAAAATAAAATTTGAAACCAAACCCAAATAAATATACTAAGATTAAATTGTTTCTGCTTTTGGGCCCTTCCTTTGCATGGATAATGGAGAGAGATCACCTGGAGTAAAATGAAAAGCCAACTCCCTTTGACCTGGGGCTTGGTTGTATTCTACCCAACTCCCACTAGGTGGAGGGTTTTAGCAGGGTAGGCTGTGCCCTTCACATTCTAAGCAAAGACTGATTTTTTTTTATCAGTGATTCTCATGAACAAAAAACTTCACCTCTTCACATATCATGAATAGCCAACCTATTAAAGCCAGGTGCTTTGTAATCCCCACTCTCAACACCCAGCCTCCCAAATGCAGGTAGCTGAGCTGATGACTTTTTATAAGCAATGCTACCTTAAAAATATACAGTTCTCTCCTCTCCCTGTAAGTCCCTCGGTTTGTGTTGTTCAACAACTGAGAAAACAACTAGAGGAAGCAGAAGAAATCCTGGTAGATAATAAACCTGCAGCCCCTCCTACAGGACAGTGGAGGCATCCCTAGTCAGCTCAACAATTAAAAATCTAGTGCTTCCTAAAATTACATGTGACTCAACCGATGTGACAGACTACCAACCTAAGCAATTACCTAAGCAGGGGTGCCTCTGTGGGGGAAGCCACTGTGTCTGCACTCTATCCAAATCATTCGAGAACTGAGAGGGTTTCCTGAGGTGCAGTCCATGCTGGTACATGGGACTTCTGGACTGGTAAAGGTGGCCACCATTAAGGGAGAGTTTAAACACTTTTATGTTTTTATGGATTAAAAACAGCCCCAGGTAGGTGCCTATGAATGCAAAGATGAGGCATCACTGGAGGAAGGACCAAGGGTATATCCCTCAAGGGCCGAAGGGGCCAGGGTGCCTCTCAGTCCAGGACAGTGAATGAAGAATTTCCATTGAAATTTGAATATTCAAAATAGATCTTTAAGGGAGAACTGCCCTCACTGTGGCATTTTTAAAAAGCATTCTTTTGGGGGAATATCTGGAGAACATTTTCATGAAAGACTTCATGTGACTGAAAAAAGACCATGGGCCGGGTGTGATGGCTCACACCTGTAATCCCAGAGCTTTGGGAGCCGAGGCGTGTGAATCACAAGGTCAAGAGCTCGAGATCATCCTGGTTAACAAGGTGAAACCCCGTCTCTACTAAAAACACAAAAAACTTAGCTGGGTGTGGTGGTGCGTGCCTGTAGTCCTAGCTACTCGGGAGCCAATGAGGCAGGAGAATCGCTTGAACCCAGGAGGTGGAGGTTGCAGTGAGCTGAGACTGTGTCACCATCTCGGAAAAAAAAAAAAAAAAGAAAAGTCAGACCTGCATTAAAAAGCATGTTGAGAAATTTTAAGAAAAATGACACCTAGACATATAAGCCTAGAAAACCCCTCAAGGGCTTCTTTGGTCATTTCCTTTTTTTTTTTAAGTGGTCTTCTTTCAAAGCCTTACTTTTTAAACTTCATGTTGGGGGGAGCCCAGAATGAAGCCTTCACCCCATGCCCATCAAGCTCACCTGGTTTTTAAAATCCTCCTTGAAATCACTAAATTCTGCCTCCCTGACCTCCTTTCTTCTCTCCCACTTAGATCTCAGTCCCCTTTCTAACCATGGACTGTGACCACAACTAAACCAAAATTTTCTCTTTGCTGGTTTCACATTACAACTTTCACTGACTTTTCTTTTTCTAGAGGCTTTGTCCCTTCAAGAAAAACTATATAACTTCCGGGGGTGGGGGTGGAGGTGGGAAAAAGCTTTGCCGAGATTTGGAAAACAAAACTTATGACTGCAAACTTATAAATATACTTGGTGCTGAACCGAAGCTAAGACCATACATTCCGACTCAGCTTTGTGTCTGCACGTCAGCAAGAGCCCCAGCCTTTGTTCTTCCCTTATGATAAAGAAGCTGAATGCAAAATACATCCAGCACAGAGTTACTAAGCCTTATTTGTAAACATGGAAACCCAAGGGCTCCCTCTCAACTCCTTCAGTTACTAGCTGCTTTCCCTACTGTGGGACGACTATGGGAAGACCACAAGGCCGCTTTCTAAACCAGACTCAAAGAAAATGTTCCAGACTAACAGGTAATGTGGTGGCCGATGGTTAAACGTTAACAGGCTGGTCTGCAGCAAACTGGTGTACACTGTCAGCACTGGTGTACACTTCCTGTGGGTTGCACTGCAGGCCATCTTTGGCTGACAGGGGTCCAAGTTAGGGGAAGATTCCGTGCGCACCCAAGTCTTTCTTCACTCAAAGATCCTGGTGAGTTACGTGGTGGAAGCTGGGGAAGCAGTATAAGCAAACCAGCTTACACTTTCGTACCTTTAGAGGGTCTGATCTAGACTGGCAGCTAAGCAGTCAAGAGCACTCATAGTTGGTTTCACTAGGGCTCAGTGGGAGGCACAGGGAGGGGCAAAGGTTGGCCTCTCCACTTCAGAGGCAGCCTGCACCCGTTACTAAGGACAAGGGGGCTGAGATTAATATCCAACCCTTTGTCCACACTGACGTCTGAGGCAGGCGTGCCTCCCAACTATAGGGTACCCCATATCTCCACCCTAGTCTGAGGAACAGAAGTCACAGGATGCAATTACAACCCTAGAAAAACATAGCTGGGTGATCTCTTTGCAGCCATGAAGTAGTGTCAGACTTTCAAGACCTGCAGAACTGGACCGAGCACCAAAATGCTGTCCCTGTTACTAACCAGTGCCAGCTGGCGGGGTGTCTAAGTGGCCTGCAGCAGGCTGGTTTTGGTTTGCTCTTGGGGGTGAGGATGGAGAACCCCAGCAGTCCAAGCGGATGGAGTGTACTGATAGAGGACATGAGTAAATTCAGAAACTGTAAGGGAAAAAAGGTGGCAGAAGACGTATCAGGCAGCCGTTAATTGCTCTTTGGGTGCTGCAGGGAGGAAGCACACATCAGCACAGGAGAATAATACCCGGATTCAGGTCAAGCAGAGATGTGATTAAAGAAAGGACATGCACAGTGCTTTTTCAAACAAGGACACAGTTTTATACCAGGAAGAGTTATTGAAAAGAAGAACACCACATCCCTCCGTGCCCCTCCCAGTCAAGGGCTCAGCACCCCTAGGTTCCTCCGATACCCTGACATCCCAGAAAGCCCAGGCCTTCTCCCAAGGAGGCTGAAGAGCTCCCCTAAGCTTTAAGGTTTCACATCCCCTTTAGATGAGTTTATACCCAGGGCTGAACTTGTAGGCCTTCCTATATATCCCACCTCCCAATATTGAGAACAAAGGCCTCTTCTGCCAGAAGGGTGACAGATCTTCCCTAGCAGCCCTGAGAGTCACCGAGGGGCACTGTCACTGTTTCCTGCTGTATGTCTAGGTGATCTGACCCAGAAGTCACACTCCCTCCCAGTCATCAGTAGGGCCCACCTTTCTATTAATAGGCTGCAGGCTCCGAATCCTACAGAGACAGGACAAGCAGCTCCACAGCTTGGACTGGAGTTTGCTACAACTCTGAACTGAACTCCTATCTCTCCCTCTCTCTGGGTTCTCATTCACCTGGCGGCACTACCTGTGCTATCATGGGATCCAACATCACTCTCTTTTGACTGGGGGATAAGCCCGTTTCTTCTCAGGGAACAGGTGGTAACTCCGTGTTTGCGCAACTGGTGGCGTTCACAGTTAGATTTGGTAGAAAAGAAGGCATCGCATTTTTGACAAGGGAAGGGTTTCTGACCTGAAGCAGGAAAAAAAATATATATTTATCTGGCTTTCTACTGCAATGGAAAAGAAAAGTTGCTTTCGTTTATTCTCTGGGATCACTGGCAGTTGTTCCCCCTCCTCCACCCCTTCCTTTTAAGAAAATTAACAAAACACATTAAAAAAAGAAAAAAAGAGAACATCAATGACTAAAATGATCATTCTCCCTTTTCCTAAGTGGAATGGAATATAAATTTTTGTCATTAAAATACTAAAAGAAATGAAACTAAAATATATACATTTAAAGTAAAATAATGGTATATTAAAATATTAAATAATGACAAGAAAAAATAAAAGTGAATAAAGAGATTTTAGAGCACAGCAAGAAAACACATATATTCCATCACAAAGAGAAAGACGACCTCTAACAAGTTCTAGTGTGGCAAGGACACCGTAATATGGATGTTAGGAAATCCAATGGGGAACCCCTGGGTATCTTTGGGGGCCCATGAAGAGAAGTCAGGTTGAACCCCCAGCCAGGGTGGCCAGTCCTCCTTCCTGGTCTTGGTGGCTGTGTCCCTCCCACAGGAGAATGGCGGCAGTAAGTTCTGACTTCCCAGGACAACTCCTGTCTGACTTGCCAAGACATCCTGCAGTGACCTCTGCTCAAGGTCACTGTGATCCTAGCTGGCAAGAGTCAGGAGGTCTTCTCATTACATTAAAGGTTCTTTGTTCCCCCTGCTCCAAGCCTGGTTGCAAATGAGTGACCAATACATGACTATGTCTACATTACATCATGTGCTCCACTCAACAGATGTGCATGTGAAGAGGACACACTGACAGCCCTGCCTCACCGCTAGACCCATCCCAAATGCAGATAGGTGAGCCACTGTGAGAGGCACAGTCCCCTCCTGCTTCAGTCTGCCTACCCTATCCTTTTACTTTGATTCCTCTATGCTATAAACATCATGTTTCAAAATGCAATCCAGGCTCCTCTGCAACTTGTCCTAAGTTTGTGTCGATGTATGTGAGGGAGAAAGAAAGCACAAGGGAAAACAGATGAGGAGAAAAAGAGCAACAGGGAAGGGATCAGGAGCCTTCAGGAGATGGAAGTCAGTGGTGCATCATTTGTGTATCACTGAATTCTTCCCTTTCTCCCAAGTTGCTAGAGTCCAAGGTCCCAGTTGCTAATGTTACAGGGTAAAAGGTTTTATGTATTAACCAACATGACTTTAGAGCTGGGGCCCAGTACTTTTTGTCTCATAACCTTGGGATTGCCACAATTAAACACAGCTCCCTGGAAGCACAGATCACAGGGGCCTCCGGTGTTCGTTTAATGTCCATAGAAGTCTGAACTAGTGCAGGTGCCCAAGGCCATGCACCCCCCTGCAAATGCACAGCAAGGGCCTGGCACCTGGAGACCAGTCAGAAAGGGTCATGTGTTTTCCCAGGGGAAGGAAGGACTAGCCTTGACAGGCACTGCTGTGTCATATGACTCTAGGGGGCGCCATTCGTACAGAGCCTGAAGGTGTGGACCTGGCCCTGCCCCCATGACAGCATGGCCACAATTTCACATCAGGAGTAATAATCAGAGATAGGGGACATTGATTCCCTCCTGAGCTGAAAGGCCCTTTTAGACGATGCTTACAAATCTCCTTGTGAGCTTTTAACAAAAAAGATGCTTGCAACAATCAAAGACCACAAAGGGCAGAATCAGAAACCCAGAAACCCATCCCAGCCTGTGTGCTTCTGAGGAGCTCCACAAGGCACCCTAAACAGAAATGGAGAACCCACTGACTGCTTTCAGGGTCTCATTTCATTCTATAGGTGTTTTCTGCTAAATTTACTTTTAAAACATTCACATTTTTAAAAAAGTATGAATAGCTGTATTTACAGTGTTTATGGTGCACCTTCCAAATTACTTCTTGCCGTCATGCATGCTGGCTCATGCCTGTAATCCCAACATTGTGGGAGGCCAAGGTAGGCAGATCACTTGAGGCCAGGAGTTCAAGACCAGCCTGGCCAACACGGTGAAAACCCATCTCTACTAAAAATATAAACATTAGCGAGGCGTGGTGGTACACACCTGTAATCCTAGCTACTTGGGAGGCTGAGATGCAAGGATCGCTTGAGCCTGGGATGCAGATATGTAGTGAGTAGAGACTGCCACTGTACTCTAGCCTGGGCAACAGAGAGACTGACTCAAAAATAAAATAAAATGAAAAAAATTACTTCTTGTTTTTCATTTAAAATTGAGCAAAGTATCTAATAATTTCAAGTAAAAATGAAGTACTTTTAACATTTTATTGTCAAAAGACAACATTCCTGCTTCTGAGTCTGGCCAGATTGAGAAGAGGAAAACAAGAAGCTACTATGACAGGAATCTTAATTTCAAAGAAAATGATCGGCTTCTCCATGGTTTACTCTGTAATTTCCACATTAGTGAGTGTGTCACCTTTACTATTGGTTAGGACTGCCAGGCTGACGTCCTCATGAGAAAGTCCCTATTACTGCTAAATTCAGAAAACAATCCATGATGCCAAAGTATTGCATCAAATTATGAAGGTTCCCAAAATGACATAACTCACACGAGTCATTAAAAGATCACATTTCACTGTGTTAAGTCTGACTTTTTAATAGCAGTGGGCTCTCTGGATCGAAGGGATGCAGGAAAACATGGGCCCTTTTTAGTATTTTATAGTAACACAGGTTTCAAAAACACTTGTTGGCCAGTCATCTATATGGCAAGTAGCAAATGATTTTATTTGGTAGCTGCCATGAATGACTGCTTTAGGAGGAGTATTTGTAAAAGCACCTGTAACCACAGGGAATTACCTCCACACTCAGGACCTACAGCATTTGGTGAGCCCCAACATGAGTATTTAAACCAACAGCCAGCTGGGCAGAGTGGCTCATGTCTATAATCCCAGAACTTCGGGAGGCCAAGGGAGATGAATTGCTTGAGCCCAGGATTTCAAGGCAACATAGTGAGACCCTGTCTCTACAAAAAATGTAAAAAATTAGCTAGGCATGGTGGTGTGCACTTGTAGTCCCAGCTACTTGGGGGGGCTGAGGCAGGAGGATCATTTGAACTCAGTGAAGAGTGATTACACCACTGTACTCTAGCTGGGGTGCCTGGGTGACAGAGCAAGACCCTGTCTTTAAAAAAAAAAAAAAAAAAATCCCAAAAAAACAAAAACAAAAAACTGGCCAGTATTTACTCTCCCAGAACAGTCAAGAAATGAAAAGGGGTATTGGGGCAAGAGAAGAGTGAGCAGTGAGAATAGTTTGAAGAGGAGACTAGGACCTTGGCCACGAAGATGATCAAGAAAACAGAACTGAAAATACTTCTGTTTATTTTTCAGACAATGAAGGTTAAAAAGGTGGGGTCTAACTAGCACAGACAACCTTACAGTTGCTTTTCTTTCTGTTAACAAGATGACAGCCTAAGCCGCCCAGCTTCTCTCCATCGCTCCTCTACCCCTGTGAAGGCATCTTTTTTTGGGTATTTTCTCTCTGTATTTGGCAGAAGTGTACACAGGACTGGGTAAAAATGGCCAAAGCTGTCTTTTAAGAAAGCTAAAAGTAGCCAAATACAAGTGGTGTCCCAGGTGCTTTCCATGTTCAGGTTTGGACGATGCACCGACTGAAATTCTGACCCTCACTGCCAGGTAGGAGAAGGAAGGAGAGGGTGTGGGGGAAAGCCCCCCAGCTCAGAAAAGGCACTCAAAGCACCAGTGAGAATGTGAGCAAGCCAGGAAGCCCAGAACGGACATCCCAGAGTCCCAAGCTCATCAATGCAGGACAAGGAACCAGAGCAAAGGGAAGGAGGAAGAAAATGAGGACAGAGAGGCTGGAACAGACTGGCTGTGTTTTCTGGCACCCTCTCCTCCACCTGTGGCCTAAAAACACACGAGATGCTCCCAAGGGGTAAAGGCAGGAACAGTGCACTCTTGTTTCCTATGAGGTGGCACATTTAGGTACAGAAAGGTAAGGAACCAGGAACTGTCCTCATCAGCAGGAAACTATGGGCTGGGAGAGAGCTAGAGAGGAGTGGGAGGAGGAGGAAAGGCAGGTGCATGTGAACACTGTGCCAGGGGGTATGAAAAATGACAGTTACGCCAGCTTCCTCATCAGGTTCCTGGAACCTGAGCCGGGAACAAGAAAAGGTTGAGGCCACTTGCTCTTTGCCAGCAGCCAGCAGATACACCCCTCACTGGACAATGAATACCGGATCTGCTGCTTGCTGCCCCATTGAGGATTGGGTGGACTGGAGAACATGTGTTTGAGACAAAATAGAGACAGTATAGTAATTTGCTAAGCGGGTAGGAGGAGGCCAGCATTCAAGGTGTAGACAGTTTGTTTAAATGCAGTCCAAAACCGGATGCTACTCAATGCTTCTGGCTGGAATGCAGCTAGATTTTAACACTACACTCAAAAACACAAAACGGCCAGGCACGGTGGCTCACACCTGTGATCTCAGCACTTTGCAAAGCCAAGGAGTTGAAGATCAGCCTGGGTAACATAGTGAGACTTCGTCTCTACAAAACTAAAAAATTAGAAAAAAACAAAAATACCCCATAAAATATCTTCCCTGAATAACACCTTTGTTGGCAGGGTGGCTGCAGAGTCAATGTTTAACGTGTACACTTAAGGCTTTTTTCAGTTTTGGAGAGAGCATCTCATAGAAGCCTAGGCAGCCAAGGATCCATGTGGCTCTGAGTGACAGCAGAGCTGCCTACCAGGAAAAACATCTGATGGGGAAAGGGGGCCCATCAGATGACTTCCTAGGCTGCTTTCAGCTCTAATGCTTGATGAATGAAAAATGCTCTAACATGACACTGGATGTAGTAAAGTGCTCGATATAATATGATTTAGTGGTGGTGATGCTGAGCATCCCTGGAAGCTGAGAGTGAAGCACAGCAAAAAAGGTAATGAAGTTCAATGGGCACCAATCTTCATACACTGTCTATGCATGTGGCTAACACGATTCTGTAATCATTAAGTCTCAAATTAGTTAGTGACATTCTGATCCACAGCAGTGTCTCCCCTTATCTCAAACTACTTCCCAATCTTCTGCATGTGCACATGTGGGAACACAGGGAGGCATGGAAGTGCACTCTGCCCGCCTTCTGCCTTCACACAGAGGACATCCGGGGCACACACACCCTGACGGGGGCAGGACAGCCGCACAGAACCTGACCCTGGCTTGGAACAGTAGCTCCATCTCTTATTCCCTATATGGCTGTAGTCAAGTTGCTTAGGTCCTTAAGTAAACTTCAATTTCCTCACGGCAACAAGTGGATGACATCACCCTCACAGGACTGTCATGAAGACTAGCTCTACCGAGAACATATTATTATAGTATACAGGGACTGGGCCAAAAAAGCAGACACATCTATCGAGGTTATCAGTAACTTTGAAGGCACAAGACGTAGAATGTTTATATTTATATCTACCCCATCCTATCTCAAACATACCTCCTGCTTTCTTGCTCAGTTTCAGATGCTACTAAATTTTAAGCCAATGCTGACATTTTGGCATTCCAAAGCCAGGCAATTATGACTGGAGTCACAAGTGGGAACACATATCAGGCATCTGCAAAGACCTGGGCACAACTCTTAAAAAAGGAAATACTGGAGGAGGAGGATGGGAGGCCAAGGAAGGGCAGGAGCCAGGCCAATCATCAGATCCAGACCATCTGCTTTCTGAAAAGTGGTAACAGAAAGACTCACTTCTCCACAGACTCTCAGTAGGCGACAAACAGGTGGCACCCAAAAAGGGTAACAAAATAGACTGCTGTAAGGGACACCTTCTACTGAAGATGCATTTTCTTTTCTGAACTGCTGTCTTCATTAGAATGGTTGCTTTACTTGTCAGGCTTAAGCTATTTCATCAGGGAGACAGTGGTCTGAAAGGGCGGCACATACTTTACAAATCTAGAAATCTTGGTTCTCCTTGAGTCCTCCCTGGATAGGCACTCCTGACTTGTTACTCCTTAATCCCTGGATTCGAGGACCCACCATACCAGAAAGAAATGCTTGTCTGTGAGGCAAGCTCTGGTGACCAGTGTAGCCTCTGAGAGACCTATCACTCCTAGATACGGCTCTCTCTGCCCCCCAGCTTCCTCTCCCTCCCCAGGCTCCATTCTGCACACTGTTCAGGTATCCAGGGGTGACTCCATGACCTCCCTCCTGCTGTTCCACCTCATCTAAGAGAAACAGCCTTTCATGAGCTTCTCCAAAGCTTTGTGGGATGATCAACTCTATGTAATGCGTTTCCACTTGGTTACATAGCACAGCTCACACCAATTCCCACAACCCACCCTCAACATCCTGTCATAAACCTCCTGACTACCTTGGGTTACCATATTTAGCGCAAAAAGAAAAACCCACAAAGAAACCAGGATGCCCGGAGCTAAATTTGAATTTTGGATAAACAAATAATTTTTTTAGTATATCTCAAGTACTACATAAAAATACTTATACTAAAAATTATTTGTTGTCTATCTGAAATTCAAATTTAACTGGTGTTCTGTATTTTATTTGCCAATCCAGTACCATTGGGTACTGGATTGGGCCCTATCTGTTTATTAATATTTTGGTTGTAAACTCCAAAAAGGTAAGGATCTCACTTAGTTTGCCCTTAGTTCAATGACATAAATCATTGAATACTGAGACTATTCACTGAGAAAATTCAGAAAATTATATTTCAGATGAGAGTTGTATTAGAAGTACCTGATAAAAAAATTATATTCCTATCCTAAACTTCTCTTTAAAAATCAAATTCTAGAAACTGACATTTGAAAAATACTTTTGGGCAGGCCGGGTGTGGTGGCTCATGCCTGTAATCCCAGCACTTTGAGAGGCCAAGGCGACCAGATCACCTGAGGTCAAGAGTTCGAGACCAGCCCGGCCAACACTGTGAAACGCCATCTCTACTAAAAATACAAAAATTGGCTGGGCATGGTGGGGCACACCTGTAATCCCAGCAACTTGGGAGGCTGAGGCAGGGAAAATTGCTTGAACCGGGAGGCAGAGGTTGCAGTGAGCTGAGATTGTGCCACTGCACTCCAACCTGGGTGACACAGCGAGACTCTGTCTCAAAAAAAGAAAAATGCTTCTGGGACCAGGTGTGGGGCTCCTGTAATCCCAGCACTTTGGGAGGCACAGGCAAGAAAACTGCTTGAGCCCAGAGTTTCAGATCAGCCAGAGCAATATAGTGAGACCTTGTCTTTTATCTAAAAAAAGAAAAAAGAAAAAAAATACTTTTGAGATATCATTTTGACAATTTAAGTCTGTCACTTAGAATTTAGAAATTTTTAAACTTGGGTGAGAATTCTTGGGGATGGACAGGTTGATGGGCTCCACAGAGCAGTCGTAGGGGGCCAGGGAAGAAGGGCTCAGGAAAGAGGGGATGTTTTCCTGCTTCACTTGGACCAGCGCCAGGCACTTCTGAGAGAAGTTTCTCAGAAAAGCTTACAATTGTAGTATAAACAAAAATTTTAAAACATTCTACCACCACTCATTGCTGATTTTCACAATCAACAGGGGAAAATGTGACTGCCTCAGTGAACTGAAAGAAAACAGCCAACATCACAATTTGTAATATTTTTCTTTAAGAAGACATGGCATACCAAAAAACTTCACAGATTTTTCAAAATTCAAAAAGCTGCATTGAGGACACTGGAATGGAATGTCTAGTGTCAAAGCACCAAGCTCATTATGCCCCAGTACGTTAATACAAAGTCCTACTTCTCTGGAGCCGCCTCCTTGCTTAACCCAGTAGACAATCCAACTACCGCCTCCAGAAGGGATGGGGTTACACCGTGAGTAATCTGAAGGCCTGTGACCACTTTCACCTCAAAATGCCCTGGGTGAACACTCACTAGACTGTTGCCCCTGGAGGGTTCAGCCCCTGTACACAGGCCATGTGGGTACTGAGAGCACGTGGGAATTCCAGCACCACCAGACAAGCTGGGGCTTCTGAGACTGGGGAAGAAGCCAAGCTAGGAATGACTGGAGCTGTGGGAGACGGGTCTTGCTTTGGACCTCCACCCGTGGCTCTCCCTGCCAGGAATTAGGACTCGCTGCCTGGGAGCCGGTCGGCCCTCTTACCAGTGTGTGTAAGCATGTGCCTCTGTAGGGAGCTGGCCCAAGGGAAAACCCGGGGACAGTGGGGACAGGTGATCTTCTGCAGGCAGTTGGCATAGGAGTTCCGCTTGGCCCTCAGCAACTTGTCTTCTGGGGGACTGCCCTGCTCTTCGTCACTGGGCCCATGGTGGTCGGCCGGGGCTCCAGCCACCTCGTCCTGAATGTCGTCCTCTGCTGTCTGCAGAAATGGACTGAACTTATTGGTGTCAGTGGTGGCCAGCATCTTCTCGATGCTGGCAAACTCTCCACTGGAGTCCAGGTCCACCCCGCCACTGTTGGCACGGGGTCGGCTCCTCGCCCCCCGTTTCCGGCCCCTCTTCTTTGAGGCGCCCGCTGGGCCATGCTCGGTGGGAGAGGCAACTTCTGGGCTGCTAGTTGGAGCGGGAGGCTCGCTGGACTCTTTTGGGCTGGTGGTGGCAGCAGGGGCGGTGGTGGTGGTGGCAGCTTTGGGGATGGAGCCTCCTAAGCTGTCTGAAGCTGTGGTGTTACTGCCAGTGCTCGTGGGCCCTGGGTCCACCACCTTGGTTTTCAGCAGGGTGGGGGCCGAGGACACAGATGAGATGATCTGGGCAATGGAGGCCAGCGGGGGCAGCTCTTCTGTCACGGGGGGCTTTGGCAAAAGTAGGGGGGGCTTGGGCCTCAGTGGCCGCAGCAATGCTGTGCCACTCAGGAGGGCTGAGCTGCCCACGAGGGGAGGGCTGCTGACCAGGGCTGAGGAGTAGATGGGGACCGCCAGCTGAACAGGGCCCTGCAGGGGCTGTGCTGGAGGCTCTGGGGTGGCTGCCGGCGCAGGGGCCAGGGGGCTTTCCAGGATACCACTGGGCCCCAAAGCCACGGGAAGAGAAGGGCAGGGTGGTGGGCAGGGAGAGGGCTGCCCGCTGCTCCCTGCCTCCTGCTCAGCCTTCTTGGCTTCACTTGGAGTGGCCACATCCTTGTCCCCTTTCCTGAAGTTCTTGGGGATGGACAGATCGATGGGCTCCATGGAGCAGTCGTAGGGGGCCAGGGAAGAAGGGCTCAGGAAGGAGGAGATGTTTTCCTGCTTCACTTGGACCAGCGCCAAGCCCTTCTGAGAGAAGTCCAGGGGCTCGTTGAAGTCCACAGCAAAGCTGCTGGCAGGCTCCAACTTGACTGAGACATGGGGAGGCGGAGGCTGGGTGGGGCCCCGGTGAAGAAAGCCATTTTGGGGCTCCAGGAAGGTGCTGAGGGGCTTGCGGTCACCAACGGCAGCACAACCACCATCCTCCCCATGCCCCGAGGCCTCAGCGGGTGGGGCCTCTGTAGAGCCCAGGCTGTCAGCGGCCAGGACGTAGCTTTCGATGTCGTGCTCTGGCACATGCAGGTGCTGCTTGAGGATGTGATGGATGCAGTTGCGTTTGGCCGCAAACGCGGCGTTGCACTCCTTGCACTCAAAGGGCTTGCGGCCCTTGTGACCCCCACCCAGGCCACGGCCACAGTGTGTGCGCATGTGGATGCGCAGGGCCCGGTAGTGCTTCAGGTCTTCTCCACACAGCCGGCACACTGTGTCTGGGGCGCAAAAGGCATCCACCAGCTCGGCCGCACTGCTACTGACATACTCAATGTTCTTCTCGATATCCTTGCGGGTGGCCTTGAGGTGCTTCTTGCGCAGGTGCCGCTCACAGTTAGCCTTGACAGTGAAGGGGTAGTGGCAGATCTTGCAGATGTAGGGCCGCTCCCCGCTGTGCGTGCGCAGGTGGCGGATGAGCGCAGCCTTGTCGGCAGCAATGTAGTCGCAGATGTTGCATTGGTACGGCGAGATGCCCAGGTGGGAGCGCACGTGGGCGCGCAACACCCCTGAGAAGGCAAACACCTGGTTGCAGAAGCGGCAAGGGTAGAGCACCTTGCGCATGGCGGGTGCCTTCTTGCCACTGGGCGCTGTCATGAAGGCCTTGAGCTCCCCCTCGGTGATCTCCTGCTTTATCTTGGCCTCCATGCTCAGCGGCAGCAGGGCCTCGATGATGCTGTCCTGCTCCAGCTGAGTCTTCATCCCGGGCTGGCCTGGCAGCTCTGCCGGTGGCTGCTGCAGGGAGAGCCGCGTGGCGTCGTTGGGCTGGGTCCCGGACTTGGACTGCAGCAGGTGGGCGTTGGAGGCCGCCTCCACTGAGCCTTTGAGGAGCTTCAGGGGCGGTGGCGGCAGGCTAGGGCTGATACAGCCGGGGGAGGCCTGCTGGGTGTTGATGAGAGGCGGGGGTGTGGAGGTGGCCACCACCGTCCTTGGTGTGACCAGGGGCTTTGGTTTCAGAGGGGGCATGTGCTTGAAGATCGCCTGCAGTGGGGTGGCGGGGGCCTTGGAGAAGGGAGGAAGACTGATTTGAGGGGGAGCCGAGGTTGCCATCTTCAGAATCTGCTGGATGTCCGCCAGCTCGATCGCAGACTCACCAGAAATTGGCTTGACCACAATGCTGCTGTCAGGCTGGATAATGAAGCCCTTCTGGAAGGGCTGCAGGGACAGGTGCTTTATGCTGTCCTTAGTCGCGGGGAGAACTGTGAGAGAACCGCCTAGAGAAGCAGCTTCAAAAGGAGACAGGCTCAGTATGTTGGCGCAGCCAGGGTCCTGAGGTAGCTGACACTTGAGTGTCTGGAGCTGGATTGCCTGGTTGTCATCTGGCAGGGGCTCCTCGGTGGGGGCAGGCCTGACGTCTTTGGTGTGCTGCAGGCCCAGCAAGGCCAGGAAGCCCTTCTGCTCCAGGGCCTCATCAGGCAGGGTCATGGCCTGCAGCTTTTCTTGACCCTGGTCTGTGGCCACGTGGGTCTGCTTATGCAGCGCCAGCGAGCAGAGCATGGGAAATGCCTTGTCACAGATGTCGCAGACAAAACGGTGCTGCTCGCTGATGCACCTCCGCAGGTTTGTTTCACACCAGGCCTATATAGAATCCACCGGTAAAAGCAAAGGAACACATGTGAAGATTGAATAATAATCACTAAATGGAGATGCACAAAGCATTTGTTGTACATATGTCCCAGTACACAGCCTTTCCTCCTAACATAAAAAGAGTTCCCAGCCTGGGCAACATAGCAAGATCCCATCTCTACAAAAAATAAAAAAAAAATTAGCCAGGTGTGGTGCCTCATGCCTCTAGTCCCAGCTATTCCAGAGGCCCAGGTGGGACAATCACTTGAGGCCAGGAGTTTGTGACTAGCCTGGGCAACATAATAAGTCCTCATCTCTATTAAAAAAAGTAAGAAAATGGTCAAGTGCAGTGGCTCATACCTGTAATCCCAGCACTTTGGGAGGCTGAGGAGGGCATATCATGTGGTCAGGAGTTCGAGACCAGCCTGACCAACATAGTGAAACCCTGTCTCTACTAAAAATACAAAAATTAACCAGGCATGGTGGTGTGCCTGTAGTCCCAGCTACTCAGGAGCCTGAGGCAGGAGAATCACTTGAACCTGGGAGGTGGAGCCTGTGGTGAGCCAGATCACACCACGGCACTCCACCCTGGGCAACAGAGGGAGACTCCACTCTCAAAAAGGAAAGAAAAGAAAATTAGCCAGGCATGAGAGTACATGCCTGTGGCCCAGCTACTTGGAAGGCTGAGGCAGGAAGATCACCGGAGACTAGGAGGTTGAGTCTGCAATGAGACATGATCATGCCACACTGCACTTAAAAAAAAAAGAATTGACTTCCTACTTGCTAACACTCTGGATTCAATAAGGCAATCCATAAAGCATCTTAACAATCATGTCTGCATGATAAATTATATCAACCCACAGGGTATCTCGAAAGAGATTCTGAAGTATAGTTAAGTAACAATACCACAAGAGTAGAGTTAATTCTTTTTAAAAATGGGTGCCTTGCAAAACTGATGGTCAGATAGACTGGAGAATCAGCTACCCTACCTCTATCATTGTGGAAGGGAGACGCTGCCTAGGAGGGCTTTGAGGAATGTCACCTGGGGGGTTAAAAATGGGTGTACACAGGTGGGTGTGGGCATATGGAACAATCCATTGAGTTTGTAGTTTGTACACTTGAAGAACACCACCGTTGATACCTTCTATCTCAATGTTTTTTAAATGGGAAAAAAAAATCTCAAATTAGTTTATTTATTTTTGAGACTGAGTCTTGCTCTGTCACCCAGGCATGATCTTGGCTCACTAAAACTTCCACCTACCAGGTTCAAGAGATTCTCATGCCTCAGCCTCCCCAGTAGCTGAGACTGCAGGCTTGTGCCACCACACCCAGCTCATTTTTTGTATTTTTAGTAGAGATGGTGTTTCACCATGTTGGCCAGGCTGGTCCTGAATTCCTGGCCTCAAGTGATCCACCCACCTTGGCCTCCCAAAGTGCTGGGATTACAGGCATGAGCCATCACGCCCAGTGAATTTCAAAGTAGCTTTAGCAGGTGTGTTATTAGTAGGGAATATATATGGATCTTTTCTTATTCAGGTCAATAATGTCCCAAATTGTTTTTAATAGAAAACACAATGCTAAAAATATCTAAGCTGTAATGCAGACAGTAAAGAAAGATTAAAAAAAAATTCCAATTATGATAGGGCTGGGGTGTTTCACAATTCTTATTTTAGTTAAAATTTTATTTTTGAGGCAATCCCTGGCTCTGCTTCCCAGGCTGGAGTGCAGTAGCACAATCATGGTTCAATACTACAGTCTCAACCTCCTGGGTTCAAGTGATCCTCCCACCTCAGTCTCCCAAGTAGCTGGGACCACTAGGTGTGCACCACCATGCCTGGCTAATCTTTAAATTTTTTGTTAATACAAAGTCTTGCTATGCCTTTCCAGGCGGGTCTCAAACTCCTGACCTCAAATGATCCTCCTGCCTTGTCCTCCAAAGTGCTGGGATTACAGGTGTGAGCCGCTGGTCCTGCCTACAATTGACAACTTTTAAATCTCAAAGACCCAAGAATGGGCAAAAGGGATAGAAGAGCTAGACTGACACACAAGTTTATAGGTTAATCAACCCCAAACAAGACTATGCACCCTTCTTACCCCAACAACCCAAGAGAGACTAAAAGGATCAATGATAATTTTAAGGAAAAACGTGTTACAAAAAAGACAAAGCCCAACTGACATTTTAAGGAAAGAAACCTCAAGGAGGGGAAGTTTAGACTAACTGCATGGACCATGGAAGCAGCTGCTGGTTGCTTCCATGTGCTGATCAGAATACCTGAGAAATTCGAGGAAACTTCCTGCAGGAGAAATCCGTAAATCCTAAGTCGTGGAAGCCAGCGGGAATTGAAGGGTTATTCTGTATGAAAGGTCTGCCCATTGCATCCCTGGGAAGTTGTTTGTGGACAAGCGCATTGTGACGCAGCAGCCCTCGATGTGTTCGAAAGGTGATGCAGCAAATGTCACATCTAGGAGAGCAAAGGGAAAACATATGGAGTCAGTTAAGTCGAGGTTCCACTCATCGATTAGCCTTAGGTTTTTGTTGCTTCACTTCAACTGAGTAAAATAAAAATAGTATGATGCCAAGAAGCCAGTCTGCATGGTTAGCACCAAAAACTCTTCCTTTAAAAAAAATTACATTCAATCAACTTCTGGATACCAAATCTTTGCAGGCAGCACAAGATGTACATATGATCTGAACATCCACAGTCTGAGACAACAAGAAGACACCTGGGAAGCTGAGGCCACCGTGGCAGACCTGCTCACTCTCACCTGGATCATGCATTAGTGGGATCACGTCAGAGGTTTCTCTTTCCCTCAGTTTACTGGATTCTAATTATTGCAAATGTTTAAAAGTCAAAAAGAGTATACATTTAAGTAGCATCTAGGGCAATCAATCAGCATCCCTGGTATGTGATAGGGATACAAATGATTATTACAATCTAATTAGTAGTAACGGTGATTGTTGATTAAGTTGTAGTATCATTATCATCATTATCTGAATGATAATCACGGTCCTCATGTACTGAGCCCAGACACCCTGACAGCACAGCACCTATGACAACCCCGGCAGACAAGTGCATATCACAACCCTCTTCTTCCAGATGAAAAAACTGGTGATCAAAAACACGAAGCAATGTGCCTCAGGCCACATAGCCAGTAAGAAGCACACATGAAATGTCAGCCTGAGTTCCTGCTCCCACCTATGCCTGTCACAAGGCTATCTCCCCTTCCTTGAAAGACTCCCACAGATGCTGTCCACTTCAAAATCGTGACCCTTCAATTCAGAGATCATCTTTGACATTCTAAATATTCTGGGCTATACAGCTGCATAGCAAACACGACTTTATAATATTGTCTCTGCTTTTCATACCAGTATTGGCTTCTAGGTCTTCACTGAGAACCATATGAAAAACTTACATCGCCGGGCGCGGTGGCTCGCGCCTGTAATCCCAGCACTTTGGGAGGCTGAGGTAGGCGGATCACCTGAGGTCAGGAGTTCGAGACCAGTCTGACAAATATGGTGAAAACACATCTTAAAAAAAAAAAAAACAAAAAACTTACATTGCGCTGGGCCAGGTGGCTCATGCCTGTAATCCCAGCATTTTGAGAGGCCGAGGTAGGCGAATCACTTGAGGTCAGGAGTTCGAGACCAGCCTGACCAACATAGTGAAACCCCATCTCTACTAAAAATACAAAAATTAGCTGGGCGTGATGACGAGTGCCTGTAATCCAGCTACTCTGGAGGCTGAGGCAGGGGATTGCTTGAACCTGGGAGGCAGAGGTTGCAGTGAGCAGAGATTGTGCCACTGCACTCGCGCCTGGGCGACAGAGAGACTCCTTTTCAAAAAAAACCAATTAAACAAAACAAAAAAACCTTTACATCAGTGTGCAGATAGGTGGATAAAAACAAAATATCATCATTATGGTATTTATTCTCAACACCCCGTAGACCTGCATGGAAGGTAGTAGCCACCAAAGCCACATGTGGCTATTCAAATTTAAATTACTTAAAGTTTACTCAGTCACATTAGCCTTCTTTTAAAGGCTTAATAGCATTGGGAAGCACAGACACAGTACGTTTGCACAATCACAGGATATTCCGTTGGACAACACTGTATACCAAACATCGTTCCGTGTATTTACGTATGCAAGTGCATCTGACCCTCATCACCTCTAAGGTAGTTCCTATTATCACTGTTTTAGCCAGGCAAAGCTACTTGCTTATGTCCACACTGAATGCACCTCAGTGAAAACGTTTTTGAGTTGAGAGTCTTCTCTGGAAATAAAGATAGCAAAGTCAGCCACAAAGCAGCTGAGCTTACTCAGGAAGCTCTGAAAGGAAGAAGCACCAAGTATATGCCATCCTGCTTGCCTTATTGCACTGTAGTGGGTACAGCAGCCTGGTCCTGCTCTGCATGCTCCTCCCCTGGCTCCCCTGTTCACGCAGGGGCCTCTCCTGAGCACTCTCCTGTCACAGCTCAGCTACCTTTGGAACCCCAACCTCGGGTTCCCAGGAGCCACTCAAAACACAGCAGTCCTTTTGAGGAAATTCTGTTGAGCTCAGCACTGTGGTCACAGCCCAGGGAAGGGATGGGTCAGGATAATGAAGAACACCTTTAGGGACTGGAAGTCCCCACACTGTAGGCCCAGACATCAAAGTACTTAACCCAGCAGTCTAAATCACAGGCCATGAGACAGATCCTGCAGGAAGCAGAATGGACACAGCCCCTCTGGGTGAGGTTCTTTCTGGCTGAGACATGTTCAAGCTCTGAGCTGTGCACAGTGAGGACGGTGACCCTTGGAGGCAACAAGAGCCTCTGTCCTGTCCTGCTCTTCTGGAGACGGAGCTCCTTCCTTCTCCCACCCTCACTTCGTTTCCCCTCACTCAAGTTTAACTGCACCCTTCCCATGGTCACCAACCCGACACCTCACCACCAGTTGGCACAAAGATCTATATTGGACTGAAAGGGTAAGAGAAATATCTGAATTGGGGAAATCTAACTCTGTTTTTTGAGACGAAATTTTGCACTTGCTGCCTAGGCTAGAGTACAACGGCACGATCTTGGCTCACCACAACCTCCTCCTCCTGGGTTCCAGCGATTCTCCTGCCTCAGCCTCCCAAGTAGCTGGGATTACAGGCATGCACCACCATGCCTGGCTAATTTTGTATTTTTAGTAGAGATGGGATTTTTCCATGTTGGTCAGGCTGGTCTCGAACTCCTGACCTCAGATGATCCATCTGCCTTGGCCCCCTAAAGTGCTGGGATTAAGGCGTGAGCCTTTGAGATATTTGATATATTCACAAAAGACTGTGAATTTTTTAGATATATTATTTTGGCTATGCTTTTTTAAAAGATCCTTTAAAAAAAAGTAATGAAATATTTATAAATAAAATGTAGGGTATCTATTTGTTTTGAAATTACCTGGGTTGGGGAAGAGATGAAAAAAAATTGGCTGTGAGTTGATAATCCCTAAAACTAGATAAGGATACACCAAACTTAAGCAGAATCCTAGATTTTTACAATTATGGCACTCAACTGTGCATAGGCGTCTTACCTACCCTAAATTGAACAGCAACTGAAAAAAATACTCTGTCTAATCTGCACTATAAACAAGGCTTTCCACTGTAAGTTTCCACAGAGACTATTCCTTTTTTAAAACAACATTCCATGGACTTATACAAAATTTAATTAAGTTATAATAAATGATTACAAGTGTTATAGACATAAACAGGTTGGGAAGAGACTTTTGGTAGCATGCAAGTCAACTGCAAAAGGCAGGCAGGTAGGCCTGAGAGGTGACTGCAAACCTTCTGAAATGCGCACCACTTCTATAAAAAAGTTTTGTGCATGTGGTCCATATGGGTTTGTTGTTTAGCTGAGAATGTGTATGTGTGTACATATTTAGTATGTATATGTATTTATGATATAAATGTAAAATTTCCATTTTTTAATGTACCTGGCACATGATATATATTTGCATATATCATGTGCCAGGTACATTAAAAATTAGAAATTTTAAAGGTTGAGATTAAAAATATGCTTTTTTTTCTTGCATCCTGGAGATTTTCCCTGAATACTCTTCACTTTGGCATGATCATAGCTCACTACAGCCTCAAACTCCTGGGCTCAAGTGATCCTCCCACCTCAACCTCCTTCAAAGCTAGGACTACAGGCATATGCCACAATGCCTGGCTAATTTTTAAAATTTTTGAAAAGACATGGTGTCACTCATGTTGCCCTGGCTGGTCTTGAACTCCTAGGCCCAAGCAATACTCCCAAACTGGCCTCCCAAAGCGTTGGGATTACAGGTATGAGCCACTATGCTTGGCTATTCTCCACTGTTGAGACTTTTGTACTACTGCATAACCTATTGGCTATGAATATTTAGTGTGACTGGCATTAATAAGTAGGTTTTATAAAGGGAATGAAGAATGAATGCCTCTTAATATGGCAATTAGATTTAGAATTTACTGTATCTCTATGATTACAGTGATTTTTTTCTCTTTTTTGAGGTAGGCTCGCTATTTTGCCCAGACTGGCATTGAACTCTTGTGCTCAAGCAATCCTCCTGTCTCAGCCTTCCTAGTAACTAGGGCTACAGGTGTGCACCCATATACCTGGCTAGAATTTTTAACAACACTGAGGGGTGTTTTTTTTTTTTTGGTCTCATGCCTGTGTCTATCTTCTCCTTCATTATCTCACTTACCCTCAAATCCCTCCTGTTTCTGGACAGTTTCATATGTAGCAGGTGATGAAGACACGACAATAAAGATGTGACAGAATTATCCAGTATTGAACACAAACTCTGTGTCCCTGGGAAGGCAGCTGTGGAGCAGTGGGTGGTAGGGAGTGTGGGTTCAGGGACCAGAGACACCAGGTAGGGATTGGGGAGTTCAGATTGTGTGACCTTGGATAACTTATTTCCATCTGCACTTCAATTGCCAGCTATGAAAAATTTCCCAAACATGCCAAGAGGTAAGAATCCCCACATGACCTTGTTAAAAAAAGCAGACTCCTAGATCACCCCAGACCTACTGAAATCAGAATAACTAGAGGACAGGCCTAAGAATCTGTATATCAACAAGCACACCAGCTGACTCATAGTTAGACAAGTTTGGAAACATATTGAGAGTCAGGTGTAAAAATCTAGAAATATCTTAAGCTCAAGCCTGTTAGAACAGTAGCCCTCCCAGAGAAAAGTAATTACCAATACTTTACTTATCTTTGTTACTTCTCTCCTGTTCCTTTCCTTCTCCATACCTCAGTTTCCCTTCTCATCTAAAACGGGATCTTTTGCAGTTACTGTGAATAACAGATAACAAAGTGCTTTGAAAACTGCAAAGTACTTTTCCAAATTTAATCATTATGTTATTGTGCTAGGGGAAAAAAGAAACCAGGAAAAGCCCATTTCCTGGCACGTTTTAGCCAATATGGAAACTCAGGAAAAACTGAGTTTTAATTTC